GAAGAACTATGAAGATAACATCGTCAAGAGATGCAAGCTGCCTAAGCCATGATTAGGTCTACTGAGTTTTGACCTTGGAATAAAGTTTTATTAAGTTAGCCTTTCAACGCTATTTGCAAAATGTGCAAACCAAATTAAGAATGCTTGTTGTGTATGATTTGACTTGTTGTGTACAATATCATATTTCATCTACAATCTCATACAATCTCATACTAGTCTGACAAATCAGTTTTATTTATTGTTAATAACTAATATAATTTTTACTTTTAGCTCGATTATTAAAAAAAATATTAAAAGTTACTTAGGAATTTCCGCAGCAAAACGCGGGGAATCACCTAGTACTATTTATGCTTAATGCCAATCATTGGAAAATAAGGAGTAGAGAGATACAGTGTTAATTTTCATCCCCTCTTTACATGTCTAATTGTTTAAACACACCTCTTAAAGTAATTGATTGATGAAAACAACACAATATTATGTGATAGATTCCGGTTAAAAAGAAAAACCGTGTCATGAAACCATAATCTTTGAGAGAAGGCACCCGAAGTATTATCGAGTTTGTTTTCTTAATCCCAGATAATTGTCATTAGTTTCCATTTGGTAATAAAGAAAATGTTATTCTCATAGAGCAAACAAAGCACAAAATAGCTAGTTAATCTTAACACGAAAATTTATTCCATCTTGATCTTGCCAATCATATGTATTTCATAATACGAGGCACATCAACAATCTTGACTGGCTTCAGAATATAATCCTTTGCTCCTCCATCCAAGCACCTCCAACAAGGAAAAAAAAAGAAGGAAAAGGGAGCACATATTAGGATCCACATGCTCGGATTAAGAATCTATCAACTAAGGAAATCAAGGTATACATCGTCATACTTACTTTCTGATCCTTTCTGGGATGTTATCAGAGGAAGCAATTACAACCGGGAGATGTGCCAGTTTAGGTGATTTCTATGAGTAAAAACAAGCCCAATTTGAACATGTAAAATATTTGGTAGAAACATTATAAAATATATATGATGAAGATTAACACTATTGTACGTACGCACCTTCACTTCCATGAGTAGGTTATAGCCGGTCATGTCTGGCATACAGTAGTCACTAACAATCATGTCCACATCATGTTCCTGTGTCCATCAGACATAAATACATGTTTGTTATATAGTTTGTAAATAACATTACCAAATAAACAAGTAGAAAACTTTTAATTTACCGAGTCCAAAAACATCAATGCTTGCATGACACTTTCTACTGCAGTCACTGCATATATCAAACATGGAAACACTTAGTTAACAACAGTCGAAAAGAAGGTCAGAAGATTTCAAACATGGAAACACTTAGTTAACAACATTCAAAAACATGGAAACTTGCATAACAAAGAACCTCGGACATTATGGCGCATTAAGGCCATGGAAACAACATGGCGATCAACATGGGTATCATCCACAACAAGCACATGGGGGGACGACATTGCAAACTTTTGGTGTAGAGTTACTTTGAATTGTTGTTGAGGAAAATGGACCTAGAATGCACACATTTAAAGTGCAAAAGTCTTAAAATCGCGGAGATATTGCAAAGATATAATATCAAATCACTAGCATGATAATTAGCTCTCATATCTCACAGTATCACTAGTGACCGTGTATTTGATAATTTTGATATACCATACAATGTATAATGATTGATGGATTTGTCCTCTTTCGTACCTATAGAGTTGTTCATTTTTTACAAATTAACTATAGTGACCTTGCAACAATTGTAGCTACCTAGGAGCAATGATATAGTCTAATGTATGAGCATATATTTGATATATCTATATTGATAAATGGCTTGGCCCTATTTAATTTGTACATATTTAAATGTCAATACAACAAAGAGGCTAGTAGAAACTAATTAATTGGTCACACCCTGGTTTGATAGATGGTATGGTACTAAATGAAAGAAAGCAAGTGAGTAGTGGTGTAGATGGGCATGGTTTGGCCCATTGGTCCGAAAGGCCCATCTTGTGAAGCTTGTACCTTCTCCACTATGGTTTTTGTATGATCTTATTCTATAAGGCCCAACTCGTGGTGTTGTTTTCATGGCGACTCGCAGCTGCGTTTCATCCTTCGTTGTTCTCCAAGGCTCCCCTCACGTGCTCCTGGAATCGGGGATGGATGAATGAACCATTGTCCATCTAAATCGTGGTGTTTATAGATAAATAAACCATTGGGAACATGCTTTCAGTCGAGAACGATGGTGATCAATGGCGTCTTCCCAAGTCTTGAGCATATCGACACGTTTTCATATGAGATAACCGCACCGGGTTATAGGATCCAGTCACCGGACAAAGTGTCAGATGTACATTGATTTGGAAAAACAAATTCTAGGCAAATGCACACAGTTCATGTGAATACTAGACAAATTGTCTCCTCCTTTATATTTTCTGATACTTACATGTGGGACTTCGTGACAACTATTACTGGAGTTCTATGACCAAAATACTTCACCGCCATGTGCTGGCCCTACTCTTGTGATGACTTTGTCATAGAATATTGTACCTACAGATGGAACCATCTACCATGGACCCATGAGGACCATGGTTACCAAGTTCTATGACGGAATACTTTGTGACCATATGCCAACCCAAATTTCTAATGATAAATTGTGTAGTGTTTCAGATGACCATGGTGACATTTTTTGTGACCACAAACTCAAGCTGCCACTAGAATCATCCGAGCCTGAACTTTACGATGATTTCTTGAAAATTCGTCATAGATCAACGATGGATTCCCTTTTTGTCACAGTGAATCCATCATAGAAGGCCAAATCTATTGTACTGATATATGTCACAGGCTGAAAAAATAAAGAGAGGATAAGGGGGACTTGCAATGGCGTTATGGCGGCGACAACCATAAACCGTGACTCACGAAGATGTAAAGTTTGCAATATATATTAAGCCATTTATAGTATGAGTGTAATATCTTCATCGTGACCATATTTTGTACAACAAAAAGCCCAACACATACATACTGCAACTCTCACATACCACGTAACATGATGTTTAGTGTCACGTGAATGCACAACATCATAGGATAGTCTCTTTGGAATGGTGGATATACGAATTCAAAAGTCTTGTTCTAATCCTTACTACGGGTGTGTTCAGAACCCAGAGTTCCCAACTCACCTCTCGCTTTTTCCGCACGCATGTTTTTCGAACTACTAAACAATGCATTTTTTGCAAAAAAAATTCTATACAAAAGTTGCTTAAAAAATCATATTGATCCTTTTTTAAAAAAAATAGCAAATATTTAATTAATCACGCACTAATGGATCACTCCGTTTTCCGTGCGGGGAGTTTAGTTCCCAACTCCCCATATGCGAACACAACCTACATATCCAAATAAGACATTAGGCCCCTTCTTAGTTCCCACACAAAAAAAATTATACCCTATCACATCGAACGTTTGAATATCTGCATGAAGTATTAAATATAGGCTAAAAACATAACTAATGCACAGATTGCGACTAATTTGCGAGACGAATCTTTTAAGCCCAATTGCTCCATGATTTAATAATGTGGTGCTACAGTAAACAATTGCTAATGATGGATTAATTAGGCTTAATAAATTCGTCTCGTTGTTTACTGACGGATTCTGTAACTAGTTTTTTTATTAGTACCCGAACACCTCATGCGACACCCTGTATTACCCGATGTGACACGCTAAAATTTTACACCCCTAGATCTAAACACCCCCTAAAATATTACCAATAATACGAGCTGTCAACTTGCCAGCACTAACAAACAGTTACCCGAAATAGTTCCAGGAAAGCGTTTTATGCAGCAAGCTAAAAACCAAGCAGAATTATGACAGGTCCTGAACACACAAAGCAGGAGGAAATCAAACTGCTGAATTATGAAATGAGAAAAAAAAAAGAGGATAAAGTATCGCATGATATGAGGTTCTAACGATTCACTGGTTCATCCATATAATAGCCAACCACAAACAGTAAAGTAACCAGGACTCCACAATCAAAAACAACATCCACACTCCAGACTATCGCATATAGTCACAAACAAATTTGATCCACTCCAATTAAAACACAAGAACACTTATTTGGGTCTCAAATGTTTCCCGCTAGCAAACGGAGCTTGCAACACTTTGCAATAGTTTAATTCAGCATTGCACACTATTGCAGAAACACCTCAGCCTTCAGTTATAGTAGAAGTCAATATAGATGGAACCTCCTCGGCTAATTATGACCAACGCCGTCAACTGATCGGTTGTGAGTTCAAACCGCCAATTCACCTCAAATTGAAAGATTCACAATATTATTAGGATTTTATGTTTCTAGATATGATAGCACATGGATGATGCAAATCGATGGTACTGACCAGACTGAGCTTTGAAAACACCTTCCTCAATATAGGTGAGTGCTTGATGTATTGGCGTAGAGGCATGAAATTATCGGTAATGCACCATTCACCATGGTGCAATGTTCTAAGATTCATGAACATCGGCCCTCTCCCATTACGCTCCTTGTGGTAGAACTTATCCACACGAGTTAAGGTCTGAACATTGACATTATTAGGACGTAACTATGTGCGTGTGTGTGACCATGAGTCCTTTCTCCTTTTTTTTTTCTTGCAAAATTCACCAACGTTGCACAAAATATATTTCTTTACACATCACATGCAAAGGGGATTGCTCTCACTTCATAATAGTTTGCTTCAATAAATTTTGCCAACTATTCAAATGAACCCTTTGCCTTGGTTTTAAAGTACAAGTGCTTCAGGTAGAATTCGATTGACAGCAAAAAGCTAAAATTATGTGGTTTTGTGTTAAAAAAAATCACAAGGATAAGATTAACAACTCAAGGAATGTCATTTATTCATGGATTGAGTATACGGTAGGCATCCTCTGCAGATTTTTCAGATTTCAGCAGGTGATGCCGTGACATGCATGGGATACTTCCTGAAAATGAAAGTGATCACCGACGATCGAAAAGAATCAATTTTCAGAAATTTAATCACTATATATTAAAAGCACTCAGTACTCTGTACATTCTAGTCAACGTCTGCGTAGTACAATACTCCGTACTACAATGTATACAGATACAGAAACTAACGCAAAAAAAAAAGAGAGAAAATATTATCCAAAATTCATCCCATGTTCTACCAAACAAGAACATTTTATAATCTCTAGAGTATGAATTTCCTAGCTAATTAATGAGCTGATGATCACTTGACACGCCAAAGAATCCAATTAATCATCACTGTTCTCACACGGGAAGCCGGAGCAGCGTCTCCGATCTGTGCGCGCTCCGGCTCGGCGCGAGAAGGCACCCACTGAACCGCTCCTCGCCGCCGTCCACGTCGTGTTCCGGCGACCTGCCGCGGCGCCGGTACGCCGCCTCCACGTCGTCGAGGATGGCGGACACCTCCGCCATCCGCGGCCGGCTGCGCCCGTCGTTCGCCACGCACGCCAGCGCCACCCTGGCCGTCCGCGCGAGCAGGCGGGACTCGGCCTTGTCCGCCGGCTTGCCGGCGCGCTCGTCGAGCACCTCCGCCAGCGCCGGCGGGCCGGCGCGTATCAGCGGGAGCGCCCAGTGCGCCAGCCGGCCGCCGTCCCATTGCCGGCCGGTGAGGAGGTGGAGGAGCACCGCGCCGAACATGTAGACGTCGTTCTCCGCGCGGGCGTCCAGGCGGCCGTGGTCGTCGCCGTCGCCGTCGTCGCTGTGGAGGAAGGTGGACAGCCCGTAGTCGCTGACCCTGACGCCGCAGGGGCCACGCGCCGCGGCGGCCGCGTCGACGAGCACGTTGCGTGGCCTGACGCGGCCGTGCGCCACGCCGTGCGCGTGCAGGTGCACCAGCCCCCGCGCCGCGCCCGCGGCGACCGCGGCGCGCTCCGGCCACGGCAGCAGCGGCGCGTCGGTGCCGCCGTGGTAGAGGAGGGCGTCGAGGCCGACCGACCCGGCGGACGCCCGCTCCACGATGAGGACGCGCTCGCCGGGGCCCTCGGAGAGGCCGACGATGCCGGCGAGGTTGGGGTGCGGCGGCACGGCGAGCGACCGGAGCGCGGCGGGGAACCGCCGCCCGCCGGGCTCCCCGAGCACGAGGTGCGGCCGCATGCGCTTGGCGGCGAGCCCCGGCGCCGCCGCGTACACGGTGAAGTGCCTCCCCTGCCCGATCACCCTGCTCGGGTGGAACCCGTCGGTGGCGCGCTCCACGTCGGCCAGCGGGACCACCGGCAACGGCGCCACCGCAACCGCAATCGCACCACCGTCGCCATCACCACCACCACCACCACCGCCGGCGCCACCGCCCGCTCTCGCCACGCGCTTGTTGCGCCAGAGCAGGAACAGCGCGACGGCCAGCGCCACGACCGCCGCGGCGGCGACAGCGACGACGGCGTGGTGGACGGCTTCCTCGACGGACTCGCGCATGGCCGAGCTAGCTAGTCAATGGATCAGAGCTTCGCCGCCGCCACCGCCGCCGAGGACATGGACGAACGGGCGTGGCACGGCGCGGCGCGGCGCGCGTCGGTGTCACCTGATGAGAGAGATTAATTGGAGACGTTTCGTGAGCGGATTTTCAGTGGGATTAAGTAGCACGCTAAGTGACACGGTACGTACTTGATTAAACTAAACATGGGTCAAATCTGCTATGCGTACAATGGCAACAACCGAAGTCAGTGTCATTGTGTCAACAGAATGCCATCCAAAATATTTATTGGGTGGCTGACATGGTTGGAATGGTTGGCATGAATTGGTTTTACTAGAAATACTTATGGGTATCATGCTAGTATTTTTCTTGGTACTTTCTAGTATCTTCTTAAGGCAAAAACAAATATAATTGTTATTGTTAATTTTAATGAATTTGGTTGGCAGTCAAGCTTATTTATTGTGTTGAACATATAAGATTTATATTTCTGATTCGCACTTGCTATTTGTGTCTCAATGAAGAATTTACATTTCTTTCTGCTTGGTTGTTTGTTTTTTTTTTCTACATTTGAACCCGACAGATACCCCATTAAGAATATGTAGGTTAACCTCTGACGATGCTGGTGTGATCTTGTAAATTAACAAGATTTGGACCTTCTGGTGGCACACGAGGGATTCATGTACAAGAACTTGCCAAGTTTTCTTTTTTAGTCCAGCCAAAACATCATGTTCTAATCCAACAAATTTGAATGCAAAGATTGCCCTCTGCCTCCCTAGAAAACATATTGATTTCGGATTCTTATTGGAAACTTTGGAAATTTGTGAAAACATAAGCGGAAGGATCATTAATTGGAAATAAGGGCCTATTCAGATTGTAGCCAAAATAAACCTTACCAAATTTTAGCAATAACAAAATTTTGATAAGATGGTAATATTGTCAAAATTTTGGTAGGATTTCTTATGTATTAACTAAATTTAGTAACAAACTAAACGTTTTGTAACTTTACCAAAATAAAATGGTATGGTTGAAAATGGCATCAAAGTGAACAGACCCTAAGTTTTGTTACACATTTTGAACTGAAAAAAACTTTGAGCCTGTTGTTATATATCTAGCTAGCTGTTGAGACTTCAAAGTGTGCATTAGAGGGAGATCCTGGACATCCAATTAATTAATTAAACAGAGATGATCATGGCCATTTTATGATAATGTAGTCAAGTGCAACTGTGCAGGTAGTAAATCGATCATAGCAGTTGGGCGGGGTTTGGATGCCCAATCTTACGTCGACTCTGGACCAAATTCATGTTAGGAATTGCAAGTTTGTATTTTTATGTTTGTGTTCATGCACCCAACACTTGAAACAGGTATTAGTTGTTATAACTAACGTGATCCGGTGGAGTTTATTAAGGGCAGAGCAGGTAAAGGAAACTGATTGTTGTTAACTTCGCTCAGAAGATCTTATGTCAGCGAAAGAACAAATACTACAAATGGTGAACTTTCTTTTTTTGTGAGAACTTCGTTAGTTAAGTTTCTTATTTGATGATCCTCCCTAGTTTCCGAAGTTCACACCATGAGAACAAAGACGAGAAATGACTACGATACATGGGAAAATTTAATGAATTCATTTTTTTTCTCTTCTAGTTCGGACTTGTGATTTAGTGAGAATTTGTTTCACGCATATACCCATTTCTATTTTTTTTATGAATTTAGATAACTTTTATATCCTATTTTGATGGATTTTTACTTATTAATGGTTTGATGGTTATCACAGATATGTTCACACGATACATCCCAGTTTTGATATCTTGGTAACAACATAGAGTTCTTTAAAAAAAAAAAACAGATAGAGCAAGCCACACTAACGGGGATTTTTTTTTCTAGCAGATATATTTTACCCATATTGTTCAACAAAAGTAGTATATATTTTCTAGAACCAAGATTTGCTCAAACAAAAATTATAAAATTCAACCATCAAACTAATTAGAAGGATCCTCATATTTGTAAGATGTCCTACTTTCCTATTAAAATTTTGGATGGGCTGATCATGGGCCAACTGGCCGCTCAGGGCCCAATTAAGCCTCGGAGAACAATTATAAATGCAGTGGCAGATGACCTTTTTTTTACAATTTTTTATTAAAATATTTAAAAATCGTTTCAAACATTTATAAACCTAGACGTCTCACACCCTCTGGAAGCGCCTTTTTAAAAAATCGCCCTTCCAGACGACGTTAAGGGACCTAAATGTAATGTTTTTATTTGTATTTTTTACAGGATGTTTTTATTTATATTCAAACCCTTTCCGTCGGATTCAATTGCTTAAAAACCTGTAATTAATGCTTATTCGACACTCTAAATTATTTTAAAATTAAAAAGTAATAATCTACCAAGTCGTAGATCTCGTCGAGATCTACAATTTTTATATAAAGTTTATTTTCATACAATGTTTTGGACATCTAAAAGATCTTAAATGAAAAAGTTGTTAACTGCAAAGTTGTAGATCTTCTCAAGCTCTACAATTTCATTAAAAATTTTGATTTCATCCGATTTTATATGATATATTTTTAAATTACAAAATCATAGAATACACAATCTATATTGAAAAATTTTACATTTAGGTCCCTTAACATCCTTTGTAAGGGCCTTTTTTAAAAACGTCCTCTGGAGGGGGTGAGGCATCTAGATTTGTAAATTTTCGAAATGTAAAATTATTTTTGTAATTTTTTAATAAAAAATGTAAAAAAATCGGAGGATGACTTTAAGGGGATCATTTGAATAGAATGGCAATGGCAAGAGTGGTGACCTGGTTCAAGCTGAACCTAGTTGATTTCTCTCATTCGTTGCTTCTTCTTCCTACTATAGGCTCCACTACTTCCTCTAGCTCTCTCTAGAACCTTCTATAAGCTTGTAACCCTTAGCTACCTTCCTCAATTGCATTTGTATTTGTTGAAGTGGTTGCCAACCTTTCTGACATCCTATATAATCCTAGGCTATGGACTATGGACAGTACTTTATAGAAAATCGTTCTGATCCTCTCCTTCTAAATGATCCAAGATAGTTTTCCAATGAACACAATAGGTTCGTGCATTTTCTAAAAGATCGTACTATTTTCGGCTATTCAGGGATCACATCTCTTTACATACCTGTACATGGTTGCACCTAAATATCCATGGTTAGGCAAGAGCAATCCCCTTGGGGAAACATAAACAGCCCCATACCTAAATCGTGCATCAGTTCACTATGGCTCAATACGCTCAGTAACATCACAGTTCACACTTCCCATATAAGAGAACACCATAGAAGAATCCATAGGGAGGAAGAGTTCACCATGAGAAAGAAAGTCCGCGAGATGAGAATCACGTGCAGAGATGAACATGAATAGCCGAAAAACATAGAAGAATCTCATATACCGGTATGCCAAAAAACATGTACAGATATACTAGATATGCCAAACAAACAACATCGTTGTGGTTAGGACCCGCTCAAACTAATGTTATCTCCTCCAATAAAAATCATGCACTGTGCGTTCATCCCATAACAGTAGCGCATCTAGAATTTTTGTATGGTATTCCAACTTATATATATTTTTAAATACCCTAACTATAACTATGTTAGAAGTATAAATTGATCAAATATGCATTATAATATACTAACAGGGAAGTATTTTTTTCTTTTTCCAAAAGTCGCTTTTCACATATGTATATATCCATTGGGATAGGTTTTCTTGGGTGGTCCCGGGACCACCCCTTGGATCCGCCTATGTCCCATAAAGCTATAGTACAGTTCCTTGTTGTCGCTAATCATTCTTTCAATCTATTTTGGATCTAGCACAGGACAATCTTAAACAACAAACCTATCAGTTTGCAAGGAACTACTCGAAAACAAGAATATCACTATTGGCTTCTCGGCAAATGCTCAATCCTATGTTTGTCTAACAAGGAAGGTTATTAAAGTTGTTTTAATTGTTGTATCTTAATGTAAAATCATGCCTGAAGTCTTATGAAGATCTCATACAACTTACTCTTGCAATCCTAGGTATTACAAAGAATATTGTAGTACTGACTTTCTTTTTAGTTCTTAAATATAAGGTTTTTTTGAAAAGAGCAGTACTAACTCAGTTAAATTTGGAACTAAGATTGAGTTAATGTTTGGTTGTAAAAGAGACTATTGCATACAAATCGACAACAAAAAGATTTCGAAAATATTGCAGCCACCAGCAATGTTAATTTATAAAGAAAATGATATGTATATGCTATACATACCACATTTTTCCACATTTTCCCCTTGTGTGGTAAGCATGTTTGCCACGCTTTTATGCTCCAAATTTGTTTTCTGGCACACTTCTGACATGTTTTGCTAGAAAATGTGTGTCGTATGATTTAGCTAAAACATTTTATGGCTCCAAATTTGTTTACCACACTTTTGGTATGTTTAGCTAGAAAATATGTTCATGACATATGGGTCTAAGAGTAAACCTTCCTTTTGTTTTATTTCATCTCCCTTCCCCCTTTTATTTTTTGGAACACATCTAAACTCTTGGTGACCATACACTGCTCACTCCAACCTAGCCTATGAACGTCTATAACAAAAAAATCATTGACGAAAACTCCAGTCAAAGCGTCCGTGTCATCGTTATCGTCCATGACACTCTCGCTATGACTGCGGGAGGGAATAGAGGAAAGTCAAGGGATGACACAGAAGAGGACGCAGGCACCAGGTGGAGGACCGTCCATCAGAGATGCAATTGATGATGGTGAGTCGAAAAAGATGAAGAGGATGAAGAAATAGAATATTTCAAATAGTAGCAATCATTCACTTTGCTCCCGTTACGACTGAGGGGGAATGTTAGAAGTACAAATATGTTAGTTAGAGATAAGAGTCAAATACGAATATGGAGATAAGATATATCCTAGATATAGAATCCTAGAGATAAAATAGAGTCCTAGAGATAAATCTACTCTTACTTGTATTGTACTCTAAGTCTCTATCCAAGTATGTACTCCTATATATACCCTATGAGAGGGTCGATGTAATAGATTAGAAAACATTAGAATACAACAAATTAGATTTTTCCACATAGATCTCAGATATTTATGATGATTATTACTAATATAACTGACTTGTACTCCTTGAACTGAATTAGGGGTTCTCTGATCAGAAGGAATTGAATACAACTTCCATTATAGGTGAAAGTGAAATTGAGTCACATATCAATTTTTGTTTGTTGTAAAAGAGTTTCTAGCATGCAAATGAAATATAAAGAAGATATAGAATATTGTAATCACCAAGAAAGTTTACATAAAACCTGAGACATATTCTACAATGACACAATTTTCCACTTTTTTTTTGCCAAAAGTGTGGTAAGCCAAGGATTTTATCTCCCAATTTATGTGGCACACTTGTGGCATGTTTTAGCTAGCTAGAAAATGTGTCTATGACATATTTAGATAATACAGTAAAGAAAGTAGAATGCTAGAACTTTGTCAATAATTCAATACTAGCCTCAAATGGTTAACTTATCAACTTTGGGAAACATTGGCAACAAATATTCGCACTAACGAGATTAAATTTTAGCCATTTCGGTTAAACCGAGATTCATGAGATTTTGAGATTTTCGAAATTTTTGGACAAATTTTTTTGAAAGTTTAACCCAATTTAACTGAATTTGACTAAATTTAGGTCAAATTCACAAAAAATTAAGAAAAACCAAAAATTTCAGACGAGATAATGATTTGCTAATGGTTCGAACTTACCGAAATTTTGAAAATAATCGTTGTTTAATATTTCCATCCCTCCCAAACCAAGAACACAAACGATCCTAAGCGTGTCCCTGTACTCAGGACAACTAAATATCAATGGTCCAACAAATGTTCCGAAAGAACACAGTTATTCCAAAATTAAAGTTATATTAAAACACAATAAAAAAAAACAGCACACGCAGCATGTTATTGTCAACTAAATAAACAAGAGATGCACACAAAAACAAAACGAATGACACTGACTACACCTTTGGTAGAAAAATAAAAGCTTAAACATTAGTCCGAAAAATAGAATTAAACCCGGAATTTGTCCCTTCGTCCCACTTACTAACAGACGGTCAGTCTTTAAAACTAAACTTCGTCTTTAAATTTGCCCAATACTATGATATTTATAGTAACAAAATCACAATTACATATAAAAAGTAAATTCAAATGTCAATCCAATAATATTAATTATTTCTATCAAATAAAACTCAATTTATAATAAAACATTTTTTATCAAATATATTTCGATAGTTGAACTTTAAAATACATGCGGGCATTTCAATGGAACGAAAGTTATAATAAAATATTACTGATCAAATATAAAAATATATTTGGATAGTTGAATTTTAAAATACATGCGGGTATTTCAATGGAACGAAAGGAGTAATAATAATTAATTAATTAATCAAGCGCTCATTTATACACGAGGGGTGGACTCCTGCTTGCCGAGCCTCGCCCGGCGCTCCATCGACAGCATCCGGGCGAAGCGCGCCAGCTCCTCCTCGTTGGTGCCCCTGCCGGCGTCGGCCACGTTCCTGCCGGTCTCCACGTCCACCCTGCACGCCTGCCTCCGCAGCAGCGCGGCCCCGGCGCCGGCGAGCGCGCGGAGGTTCTCCGGCGTGGCCACGTCGACGGAAGCGGCGTCGCCGGTGAGGTCGTCGTCCTGGATGCGGAGGTAGTGGCGGTCGCAGCGGAGCGCCTGGAAGAGCACGGAGGCGTGGATGTCGACGAGGTCGGAGCTGGACTGCGCGAAGCTGTCGATCAGCGGCGGCGCCGAGCCGCCGTCGTTGCGGAGCCAGCCGAGGAGGCCCCACCGGCCAGACTCGTCGGCGTCGAATGACCTCCCCTCCACCTTGGCCGAGCCGGTGCTGAGGGAGAGCACCATGAACTTGCCGTAGTCGGCCGGTTTGATCGGGAAGAAGTCCTGGTTCCCCAGCAGGATCTGCTTGCTCACGTGGGTCATCGCCACCAACGTCTACACATGAAACGACAGCTTTTTAGTACATATAAATCAGACAAATCACCCTACTGTTGATGTGTTTTGTTCATCAAAAATTTGAGACAATTGGATCTGAAACTTATAGTGTCTGTTTTATATTTTAAACATTTTCAAATACAAATGATACAAACTATAAAGTGGTAGATCTCATTGAACTCTACAACTTTAATATGGAACACATCTGGAAATTATTTTGATCCCTTGAGGGATGTCCACTCGTTGTGGACATGTCACTCAAATGGTTATGGAAAAAAAAATTGAAAAGATGTATTAACATTTGATATATAACTCCACAAACATACAAGTTCAAAATCAATTTCTACATCTTGCAACGAAAAAAATTGACTGTGAATATTCGTTAACTAGTTGTAGTTTAATTTATTTTTCTCGGTTGTGAGATGTAGAAGTTGAATTTCAACTTGCATGTTTGTAGAGTGATATATCACATGTTAATACATCTTCTCAACTTTTTTTTCATAATCATTTGAATAACATGCAAACAACGTGGGCACATCCCCTCGAGGGATCAAAATCCACTCCCGAAACAAATTCATCATATGTGGTTTGAATTGTATATCTGAGATTTTGTAAAAATAGATATGGTAGTATGTTATAATGAACATTAGACCCTAAAATAATCTCAAATAAAAAAATAGTCAACAAGAAAGTTGTAGATCTCATCGAGCACTATAATTTTGATATAAAAGTTTGTCTTCATCTGACTCCGTATGAAAAAGTTATGTATATATACATGTTTTTTCTAAAATTTGATCCATGTCTGTGGATATCCGAACGAAATTCCCGGATAGTTTCCAACCGTTTTCCGATTCCGACGGATATTATACCCATACTGTATTCGTTTTCGTTTCTGAGAAAAATAAACCGAATTCGTTTCCGAATCTGAGAATTTCCGAATAGTTCCGATCAAACCTATCCGAATCCGAAAAATGGTTTTGACGGACGGATTAATTAATTGCTTACCGGATTGTTGGCAGCAACACCTCCATCGATGAGATTGAAGACCCGGGGCTGACCGGCCTTGTCCTTGGTCTCGAAACGGTGACCGGGGAGGTAGGTCGGCGCCGCTGACGTGCTGATGCACACGTCGGACAAGAGAGCATTCTTGGATGCATCCTTCTGTGCCTGGACATACATGGATATAATAAAATGCACATGTAAATTTTACTTCTGTTTACAATATATAGTGATGTCCTTTTTCATCACTATAGTATATATATACTATACAGCTTACAAAAAGGATTGTAATAAGTTTACATCAAATCTAGAGAAGATGGTGGGCTGGAGGAGCTTGATGTCAAATGTGGGGATGACGACGTTGGTGATGGCCTGGCTAATCCTGGTGTCACCGAGCAGCTCCTGCACAATGGACCGGAGGTATCGCCCGTCGTACTTGGGACCCATCATGCTCTTCAGCAAACCCAGGGGTCCTTTGCTGCATTTATACATGGGAACATTAAGGTTTGCCTGGATGAATTGGCATGATCAGAACCGTGTAGAAGTGACTGAAATTTGTACGTATTTTCACATGATCTTAATTAATTAACTGCCAGTCGACTAAACTTGCAGAATAAATAGCCTGAATTGAAATGCGGCAACTATAGTATAAAGTTGTGAAATTCAATTTTCTTTCTTTTTAAAACTAATTTAAACCACTTTACGCTTATCTAATTATCTGCTGTTTCATCTATGCTCTAAGTAAAACTTGTACTAAAGTTAACTCGCTGACTGATTCACCTAATTAACTACATTAATTTTCATAATTAAGTTAACGTACCCTTTTTTTCACGGCGAGAAATAAAAGTACAGAATGTTGGATGTAAAATTTGGTCGAGAAAAAAGTAAATACAAACACCGTATACATGTATACGTACATGACAGGAGGGAATATCTTGGGGCTATGCCGGAGGTAGAAGTCGACGATGTCCTTGGCGGCGAAGAGCGGCCGGCCGTCGGCGCCGGGCGCCGCGAGCATGGCCGTCACCAGCCCGCCCGTGCTCGTCCCGGCGATGACGTCGAAGTAGTCCGCCACCCTCGCCGCCGGCCCGTCCAGCTCCTGCAGCTTCTCCTCCAGGAACGCCAGGATGGTCCCCGGGATGATCCCGCGCACGCCGCCGCCGTCGATGCTCAGCACCGCCACGATGCTCCCGAACGCCGGCGGCGGCGACCTCGGCGTCGGCAGCGCTGCCGCCGCCGCAGTCGCCTGCCGCCGGCCGAGCGCCGGGTCCACGGTCAGTGACCCCCCCGCGCTTCCTCCGCCGTTGCTGCTGCCGATGAGCTCAGCTGGGACTTGCACTGGCGCCATGGCTGGCTGCTTGAGCGAGCTAGAGATCGACTGAGTTGAAGGGGGAGGTTGGTCGCGGTTGTAATTATAGTGTGGGAGCATGCGTCCCTCGCCGGCGGTGTTATATATACGGCGGCGAATGGCGGTAGGTGGTGGCGCCGGAGATCAGCACGTGCGATTGGACGGCAAAGCGGATCGGGGGGAGGGGAGCTTTCCCGGAATCTCGCTGGCTCGTGCTTTTGCATTGCATGCATGCTCTGCTTGAAACTGTAAAGAAATATAATGTGCCGTACGGATAATGGCCCGTGACTCCGTGAGCCGTACTTTTCTACGCGGATAAGCTGGATATGTGTATAATACTAGTCCCGTTTTTAATAGATGACGCCGTTGACTTTTTCCATTTGTCTTATTCAAAAAATTTACATAATTATAATTTATTTTGTTATAAGTTGTTTTATTACTCATAATACTTTAAGTGTGATTTATGTCTTATATATTTGAATAAAATTTTTGAATAAGACGAATGGTCAAACATATGAGAAAAAGTCAACGGCATCATCTATTAAAAAACGGAGGGAGTATATACTAATATGCTTACGAAATTAATTTGGTTGCAGCTAAAGCTCGTGGTCGTCATGATGCACACGCTACGCAGCCACGCATGTAAAGTACTCCCTCGTTCATATTCCCTAGCAGTTACTCCCTCTATTCTAAAATATAAGTATTTTTAATTCTTACACGATTTTATATATGCTAATTTAACTAATAACATTTACAAAAATAAGATTTTATTTTTAATAAAAAGAGTTGCATATTATGATAGCTTGTTGAATGATAAATCTAATGACATCAATTTTACATAATTGATTTTTTTACTATTAAAAGTCAAAGTCAAAAACGTTTGATTTGTCACTATGCTAAAAATGCATATATTTTTGAACGGAGGAAGGAGACCTATTACATATTTAGATTTTTCAAATATGTTATTTCTATTTATAGTCTCTATTTATCTCAGATTTAAATGAAAAGGTAAAATGTTGGGTTAGAATCCAAGAAGTTATCTTAATACTCATAGTTTTCATGTATATATATACTCCTTTATCTTTGTTACATGTAAAATAAGTTAATTTCTTTTTGATCTTGGTAACAAAAGTAATAGGTGTAACTTTTGTGAAATAAGAGAGTAAAATATATAAACCTATCATAAAAAAAGTGATTTTTGTGTACGTGACTCTCGGTAGGTTACAAACGGACCTGGCCATGTCTGCAAAAATCGAGCGAGCATTTTTCGTATAAGGGTCATTAAGAAGCCCGCATGTAAAAATTGATTTCGTAGGCGAACCCCTAAGGGGCCGCATGAAAAAATAAACTCTTTTTTTTTCATGTGGACCTCTTAAAATGCCCGTATATGAAAAATCATTATATGAAAAATCATTTTTATGTATGCGGGTCTCTTAAGGATCGATCTACAAGTCTAAATAGCCTCCTCCTTCTCGTCGCTGTCCTCTTCAACTGCCGCCGGCCCCATCCACGCCAACATCGCCGCTCCACGCCGCCTGAGCCACAGCCCCGCCGGACCCGATCCGCGCTCCTCCTCCTCCAACACCGCCCCCGCATGCCCTCCAACAGCTGCCTCCGTGGAACAAGACATGAAGACGGAAAAATAGACTTATTCCTCTACAGTAAACATGCTCACATCCCATATGAGAAATTAATACCCAACGGTGGCCCATTTGTTACGTGCATATAAATACACACACACACACACACATATATATATATATATATATATATATATATATATATATATATATATATATATAATTAAAAAATAAGTAAGGCTTTCGGTTGATTTTTTTGGTCCGTCATTAAAGGATGGGCCCACGTGATTATTTCGCCGCTAATCCGTGAATCCGGATGCATTACGGCGATCTCTGACGCTCCGCACAAAAAGAGAAACGAAAAAAAGAAAAACCTAGCGAGCAGCCCAGCCAAGACGGCAGCAGGCCGGCCCAACAAAAAGCAAACGTAGCCCAGTAGCCAGCCCACAGAGTAGAGAAGCAGCAGCCCAGTACAACATGTGTGATACTGTAGCAAATGAGCACTGTAGCACGAATAATACCACCTAAATAGGAGGCTTGCCTGATACTATCTATATCTATAACTAATATAAATATTCGTATTTTTTCTTTCGTCACATCTAATTTTCGTCCGTACACAATCCGATTTGGTTAGCAATAGCCATGGAAAAAATTGCAAAAAAAAATCCGCCGCACCCGTCGTCGCTACACCGTGCCAGCGAGACAGGAAGGAGAGCGGGAGAGGGAGCGCGGACGCTGTCGACGCCGCCGTTGGGAGGGCGCCGTCTCCGCCGCACCCCGCCATCACCGCGCCGTGCCGGCGAGAAGGGAGGGAGAAGAGAAGGGAAGCGGTGCCGGTGGGGGGGAGACAACGCCGGTGGCGGGGGAGGCAGCCGGCTGGGGGGAGGGGGAGAGGCGGGAGAGGGGGAGAGGGAGCGGCGCCGCCGGAGGGGAGGGGAGGCGAAGCGGTGCCGGTGGGGAGATGGGGAGGGGGAGAGGCGGCGTCGGGGCGGGGGAGGCAGAGGCGGCCGGCTCGGCTCGGCTGGGAGGGAGGGGGAGGGTTAGGGTTCTTATCAATTTTAAACTGATCTGAGCCGTCCATCAAAACGAACGGCTGAGATCGATCGAGGGTTTGGGCCGCACCACTTGGGCTGCACCACTTGGGCCGCACGCGGGCCGGCGGTCCACCAAGTGAGAGGAGGAGTATGGGGGCATTAAGTAGACTTTGATCGCTTACGGGCTGAAGAAGAAAATAGGCTGAAAAAGGCTCATAGAGAAAAAATAATTTTTATTTAAATAAATGCTGAAATGATATTTGTATTATCAAAATTAACAATTAAGCTATGTAAATTCCAAGAAAATTTCAATGAGTGTAATTAATATATAATTTCAAAGAGTGTAATTAATATTGCAGAAAATTTATATGTCATTAAATTACAATTCATTAAATAGTTCAAATCAAAGTTCAGTCACCATATCATTATCCGGTGTAATGCATGGGCATTTTACTAGTACACACAAGAAATAATAAAATCAGAGGTGTCAGATCGAGAATTCCAGATCGACACCGCTCTATGCCTCGCCGTCCCCACAGCCACAGCCGACCGTGGCACAGGCACTTCGGCCTCCGTAGCAACGCCGTGTGCTTGGCATCCTCCGTGCCACGCCGCGGCATCCATGCTGGGCCCGCGTCTTCCACGTCGTGATCCCGTCCTCTATGCCACGCAGCTGCACGCATCCACAGTTCCACACGGTGGGGCTCCCACTCTACTCCGCCTCCTCAACCGCGTCGGGCTTCCGTGCCGCAACCCGCAAGGCCGTGGCCCGTTCTCTCTCTCTCTCTCTCCCCTTTTTTTCCCTTTTTTTTTGCGTTTTTCTCTTTTTTTTCTGTCTTTTCGCTTTTTTTCTTTTTTTTTTGCTTCCCCCTCCCCTCACGCGTTTTCCTTTTTATCCTATTCTTTTTCCGATTTTTTTAATCTATTTGAGTTGAAAGTTTTCAAATCTTAACTTGCAAATTTTTCAATCTAAAGAAAATTTTAAATCTAGAGTTTAAAGTACTTAAATCTTGACTTAAAAGTTTTTAAATCTCGAGTTAAAAGTTTTTAAAATTTGTCTTAAAATTTTTAAAATTATAAATCTTGACTTGAAAGTTTTTAAATTTAACTGTTGAAAATTTTTAAAAAGTTAAAGCTTAGAGTTTCAAATTTTAAATTTTAAGTTGAAAATTTCTTTCGCGTAAAGATTTATTTTCAATCTTCTAGTAAAAAAAATCTTCCAAAAAGGAAAAATATTTTTTTAGTTACTGTTATTATCCTAAACTAACTCGGCTAGTCATGTAACTCCTTCAGAAATCGTGCCCAAAAATCGCACGTGCGTGAGCTAGCTTTCACGCACCTTGACACCGCCTCCAAGCCAATATCGCTCCCAACTCCGAACAAGCCCAACTTCAGTGACGGTGCCTGTCTTCCACGCTACGCCACCGCATCCAAGATGGGCTTATGCACTGCTCTGCCTCAATCGCGTCAGGCTTCCACGCTGCAAGGGCATCATTGTATGTAGACACGGACAGTTTGGCACCGCCTACAAGCCACAGTCGCTCCCAACTCTCAACCAGCCCCACTTAAGCAGTGGCGGAGAGAGGTTGTGCTATGGGTGGTCGCGATTCACTAGGGAAGTTGCCATCTCATCGGCGGATGTGGCTGCTTGGGGCGTCATCAAAGATGGAGAGGTAGCGGCGGTGCGAGGGCAACGATTCGTGGGGTGTTGCCGGGCGGCAGCAACGGCCAAAGGTATTGTCGCACGGGATGAGGAAGCGGCGAGACGGAGAGGCTGCACTGCTGCAGTGAGAAGGCGAGAGACGAAGACAGGCCGGATGGGTCGACAGTGGCGAATCCAGAAAATCGATTCGTTGGTGTCATAACATGTCTATCGGTGTCGTAGTATGCTAATTATACTTAGATCATGGTGTTATAACATATAGATAAGCAGTTTTGTTATAGGTTGTACCAAAAGTCGACGGTGTCGCCTGACACTGGCCTTAGTACCGCAGATCCACCCCTGTGGGTCGTTCCGGACTTTGGGAGCATTCGATATTGTGGGTCCGGGATATCAGTTGAGAGAGGGGGTTGCACTTGGCATAACGGATATATACCACCATTTCTAATGTTTTAAGTAGTATAGAAACGAGTGTGTGCATGTGCGGTGCGGATACATCCGTCAAAGCTAGGGGTTGCATTTCTTCAAAAGAAAAAAAAAATCCACGCACGGTTGCACATCACACTCATGCAATACATGCGCTCCTGCATGCATGCCTCTCTTGCTGCTCCAACTACTAGCTCTTTCTTGCTTAATGAGCGTGCAGTTCCTGCATGCTCGGATGGCTATCTAGCTTAGCAAGCTAAGCATCACTTGCTTAGGGATTGAGCTCCCGCTAATCTCGCACTCCACGGTACTAGAGTCACACAAAACAGCACAACCACACCCGCGCATGTCCATAATGTGGACCAACAGGTTGCAATACGCTATATGCATGCATGCCCCCTCATCACCTCATGCATGATAATCTCATTGCTGCTTTAATTTGCTAGTAGAAGAAAGGGAAACTTGTGGCCATGCATTATCAAACAATATTGTTTGTTGCTGGTAAATAATGAAGAAATATATATTTTTTTTTGAAAAAGATCACTTTGTATTAGCAGCATCTATCAGAATGATGGTAAGAGTTAATAAATACTAGCTCTTAGCAATTGATATTGTGTATATAACTACAAAGGTTGGGTTCATGCACTTACATTAGTACTTCCTCCGTTTCACAATGTAACTCATTCTAATATTTCACACATTCATATTGATGTTAATGAATATAGACTCATATATCTATCGTATATCTATCTAGATTGTTAATGAATCTAGATAGATATATTCATTAACATCAATATGAATGTGGGAAATGCTAGAATGACTTACATTGTAAAATGGAGGGAGTAATAATTGGAAGACGATAGAGTATACCGCTATAAATTTGAGGAAAAGATTTTTTTTTAACTCATCGAGGAGATGTCTTTATTTACATATCATCGAATAGTTTTGAAAACTAGAAAGGTAACCCGCGCATTAGCGCGGGCATATATTATAGTTTGTGTTTCAAACACTGTACAACATTCCGAAATATAAATCGGAAAGAAATTTCATACAGATGCACATGCATCTTATTTTTTTATTAAAAAAAGGAGTGCTAAAAGGAATCATACATCACTATGTATATATATACTGTAAGAGAATTTAGATTATCCTACAATAAAAAAGAAATATATTTACCCTAAAATAGATGGTAGATTTTAATATACTACTAATGTGATAAGAGTGTTTCTTAGATTTAAATAAAAATTCCTTTATTCTGGTCATATATAAACTGGTTGTTTGTCATCACTACTTACTGTCATTGTTTAAGAGTTAGGTGCACTTTTAATAAATGAAATTGTATTAGTACCACTAAAACAAACGATACATTATTAATACACTAAAAAAATTCATCTACACTACATAACCCGCCGTTCATCACTTATTTTTACCTCTATATATAAATAGGCTAAATATACCATATCTACCGAATAATACGATAACATCATTAAAAATAAACATGAATGCCTCTCTAATGTATGAAGTCGGCTGTATCTACCAACCAAGGCTTCCGTATGTAATGCCTTAAAACATACAGGTCTCGCATCGATAAGCCATGCCCCTAAAAACCATCGTAGAGTACAATTTTAACACTTAGTTCACTATTGGTACACTCACAGTTGATTATATTGGTAAGTACGTCACTTTAGTTACATTGCCTATGATGGCCTTTCATGGACACCACCTTAACTCAACCATGTACATGTCCATACAAATTTATGATGGCATAGCAAGTATTACACCCTGCATTGAAGGATAAAGAGGGACAGAAAAAAAGAGGTGATGAAAATAATTTTTTTTAAGTTTTGAGTCGAATTGTGGTAGAGAATAGACAAAATATGTATATGAAGTTAGTAATAAGTACTTCTCAAATTTTATTGGAATACATACAATATTATGTTTTTCAAATGAGTGGGGTTAATCATTCGACACTACTTAAAAAAAATATAACTAAAGAGACGTACCACCACGAAAATCTGCAAAACACCATATCATTATTTATATTTTGATAAAGATTTATGCTTTTGCGCCAAATTTGTTTCCACGATATGTTGTTTATAACTATACGATACTCATTTACTAATTCTAAGAATGTACTTATTTTCACAAACTTATTTACACTAACTAATTTGCTAGAGTGCAACTTATTTACATACACTAACTAATTTGCTAATTTGCTAGAGTGCACTTATAGATGGGTTCAGTGGTGTATAACATTCGTCCATCAATTATACATGGTATATTAGAATTTCTATAACTATAAAAAATATATCATAAGTAGTTTGATGCGTATTTTATTGGATTATTCATGTTTTGCCAATACTACTTGGCAAAGAAAATACATAATTCTAGTGATGAATTAAGGGTTGTATTCTAGCAACACGATTGTCTAAAATCTTATTTATTTATTTTTTTTCACATGTATCTATCATGTATGCTTCGCACTCCTCAAATAACAATAAAAAAGTTTTGAAAACTTTTAATAGTTTTAGAATCTCAATCTCACCCAAAATAAACCTAAAAAGATCTACTTAAAAACCAAAGCTAAATTATGTTGTTTTATTACCACTCGCTAAAATTTAATTTAATTTTCTCATAAATCTATTAATTGTGCTTCTGACACCTCAAATAAGAAAAGTTTTGAAAAAATTCCAAATGCTTTGAGAATCTCAATTTCTCCCAAAATTAAATAAACCTAAATAGATGTACTTAAAAAACAATGCTAGGTTTTGTTTTTTTAATTTTTTACATATGTAGATTCAAATTAACGTTATATATTTGTCAAGTGATATTTGAAACCATAAAATATCATATGAAATTATTTGAAACATTATTATCGCATTAACTATTACATGTTGGCATCATTTGCCATGATATATTTATCACACAATAAGTTTACGATTAAGTTTAACTGTGCATATCTATGTATAGTATTATTTTTAATAAAATTATAGATTAAAGGTTGTTGACAACAAATTAGTGCTGAACTGATGATTTTTCCTGATCAGTATTTCTTTCCGATACTACTATGTACGTGTGCGTGCTTTCTTTTTATTTTTTTTTGGCTTTATCTTTTTTTATCATATATGGTGTAGGTATTTAAATTTTGTTTTCTTCTTGGGAAGGAGACGATCGTACGACTTAAGCACGTCACTTTTTTTTACCATGATAGAGATTAGTAGCATAATCCCTTTTTTTGAGAAATCCCTTTTTTTTAGAGCTCTAATCCAATGTTTAAAATAACTGGTCCACTAATTTAAGTGAAAATTAAAGGTTGGATGGTTTTCTTTTTTTACTCTAAATTTCTAGGATTTCTCTAATTTTATTAGAGCATCACGTGATAATGTAGGAGTGTTTGCAGTACATTTAGTAGACTTTTAGTATATAATAGATTTGTATGATTTCTCTAAATTATTGGAGAACCACGTAGCGGTGTAAAAGCATTTGTAGAAAGTTTAATGTACTTTTAGTATATAATAGATAGATTTAGAAGATGCTTTGAAAGAACATTGATTGGATATTTATTATAGATCTTAATTTAACTAAATATATTTATATTTGTGAAGTAATATATTTTATATTTATATTGTAGAAAGTCATATTTTAAATACCGTTGATTTGTATGAATGTATGTTTTTTCTGTCTTTTTTATGTATATGTGTATTTGTTTTTCTTCTAGCGAAGATTATGAAAGTTTTGTTTTCAATCATATATACGTTTGTACGTACGGAAAGTACAGCAGTGACATTTGTAACGTACAAACTCATACGTACGGACTGTAGCGCTTGTATGTTATAAACATGAGGAAGTTATTATTTTCTAATAATAGATCTAATCTAATGGTGTAAAATAACGGGTCCACCAATTTAAGTGAAAATCAACGGTGAGATTAGATAGTGCTATGTGGCGGCTTAGGAGCGTTTGTAGAAGTGCCACGTAGCGGCTTGAGAGCGTTTATAGGATGTTTAATGGACTTTTAGTAGATAGATTTTGTCATAAAAAGTTAGAATCTTTAAAACAATTGACAAAATATATCGGGCCTGTTTGGCGCAGCTCCAGCTCCAGCTCCATCCCTCCTGGAGCTGGAGCTCAGCCAAACAGTTTCAGCTCCACCAAAACTGGGAGTGGAGTTAGGTGGAGTTCTATCACAAAATATACTAGAGTTATATTTAGGAGTTGAAGCTGTACCAAACATGACCATAATATATCATTTTACAAATATTCGAGTTTAAATTTTTGAAAAATTAATTTATTTTTCAACGTTTAAATACATGCCAGTAAAATACTTTGTTTGACTGCAAAATGGTTCTTCTCTAACTTTGTAAAATGGCATTTTATTTGATTAAAAAAATTATATATCGATTTACATTTTTCTTGGAAAAGATTTGACTGACAAATTTCTTATTTCGAACTGTTTGATCACAATTTATCATCATGTATGAGCAATGCCCTGCAATGTAAATATTATCTTATGTGAAACCCTTCCATATCATATTATGCTTTCACCTGACAAAGCTAAAAGCCATAGAAATCATAAGGGCCTACTTTCTCAAATTACCCCACGGGCATATTCACCACGTGACAAGCTAGCCCAAGCAGTTCTCACTAGTAATCATGCAATAAAATTAAAATATTATATTAAAATAATAATTTAGGAACTAATATTAAATTTTCACAGATAACATTCAATATAATTACAATTATATTTTTTAAGCTCTAAATTTGACCCGCCACTGCATCGCCCCCATTGGATCATGCTCACTCTGTGCGTAGGTTAGCCTCAGGCCCTCAAGTGTCACCATTAGCAAGCAGAACATACGCCTACTCCGTCTAAACTGAGACAGAATCACGGGCCCACCCGTCAGTCACCCAAGCTCCAAAACCCAAACCCCCCCTAATCTCCTTCAAAACTGACACGAGATGGTGGGTCCCACCCGTCAGTGAGACAGCCGCCCACGCCTTAAAGCCCAAACCCACCTTAATAGCCACCCACTACTCCCACTCCCACTTCGCTCCACTCCACGCTTCCCCCATGACTCCCCTGCTCCTCCTCCTCCTCGCCCTCGCCGCCGGCGCCGGCGCCGCCTCCTTCCCCGCCGACTTCGCCAACCTCTTCGCCGCCAAGGCCGCGCTCTCCGACCCGTCCTCCGCGCTCGCCGCGTGGGACCCTGGCCTGTCCCCGTCCCTCTCCCCGTGCCGATGGCCGCACCTCCTCTGCTCCAACCCGTCGTCCTCCTCCTCCGCCGCCATCGCCGCCGTGCTCCTCTCCAACCTCTCCCTCGCCGGCGAGTTCCCGGCGCCGCTGTGCGAGCTCCGGTCGCTGGCGCTGCTCGACCTGTCGTACAATGACCTCACCGGGCCGTTGCCCGGCTGCCTCGCCGCGATGCCGTCGCTGAGGCACCTTGATCTCGCCGGGAATGGGTTCTCCGGCGAGGTCCCGAGGAGCTACGGCGCGGGGTTCCCGTCTCTCTTGACGCTCAGCCTGGCCGGGAACGAGCTGTCCGGCGAGCTCCCGGCGTTCTTGGCGAACGTGAGCGCCCTCGAGGAGCTCCTCCTCGCGTACAACCAGTTCGCGCCGTCGCCGTTGCCGGAGACGTTCACCGGAATCCGGAGGCTACAGGTGCTGTGGCTGGCCGGGTGCAACCTCGTCGGAGATATCCCGCCGTCGATCGGGAGCCTGAAGAGCCTCGTCAACCTCGACCTCTCGACGAACAACCTCACCGGCGAGATCCCGAGCAGCATCGGAGGGTTGGAGAGCGTCGTCCAGCTCGAGCTCTACTCGAACCAGCTCACCGGGAGCTTGCCGGAGGGGATGTCGGCGCTCAAGAAGCTGCGGTTCTTCGACGCCGCCATGAACCAGCTCTCCGGCGAGATACCGGCCGACCTGTTCCTCGCACCGAGGCTGGAGAGCCTCCACCTGTACCAGAACGAGCTTACCGGACGCGTGCCGGCGACGGTGGCCGACGCGGCGGCGCTCAACGACCTCAGGCTGTTCACCAACCGGCTGGTCGGGGAGTTGCCGCCGGAGTTCGGGAAGAAGAGCCCGCTTGAGTTCTTGGACTTGTCGGACAACCGTATCTCCGGCGAGATTCCGGCGACGCTGTGCAGCGCCGGGAAGCTGGAGCAGCTTCTCATGCTGAACAACGAGCTCGTCGGCCCGATTCCGGCGGAGCTGGGGCAATGCCGGACGCTGACGCGGGTGCGGCTGCCGAACAACCGGCTCTCCGGCGCCGTGCCGCCGGACATGTGGGGCCTTCCGCACCTGTACCTGCTGGAGCTCGCCGGGAACGCCCTGTCCGGCGCCGTCGCGCCCGCCATTGCCACGGCGAGGAACCTGTCGCAGCTGCTGATATCTGACAACCGCTTCGCCGGCGCGCTGCCGCCGGAGCTAGGCAGCTTGCCGAACCTGTTCGAGCTGTCGGCTTCCAACAACGTGTTCTCCGGGCCATTGCCGGCGTCGTTGACCGTGGTCACCACGCTCGGCCGGCTTGATTTGAGGAACAACTCGCTCTCCGGCGAGCTGCCGCGAGGTGTTCGACGGTGGCAGAAGCTGACGCAGCTCGACCTCGCCGACAACCGCCTCACCGGAAACATCCCCGCCGAGCTCGGCGATCTGCCGGTGCTCAACTCGCTCGACCTGTCGAACAACGAGCTCACCGGCGGCGTGCCGGTGCAACTCGAGAACCTTAAGCTGAGCCTGCTCAACCTGTCGAACAACCGGCTCGCCGGCGTCCTGCCTCCTCTGTTCGCCGGCGAGATGTACAAGGACAGCTTCCTTGGCAATCCGGGGCTGTGCACCGGCGGTTCGTGCTCGAGCGGCCGCAGAGCCCGCGCCGGCCGCCGCGGCCTTGTCGGGAGCGTCACCGTCGCCGTCGCCGGCGTCATCCTGCTGCTCGGCGCCGCGTGGTTCGCCCACAGGTACAGGAGTCAAAGGAGGTGGAGCACGGAGGACGCCGCCGGCGAGAAGTCGAGGTGGGTGGTCACGTCGTTCCACAAGGCGGAGTTCGACGAGGAGGACATCCTGAGCTGCCTCGACGACGAGGACAACGTGGTCGGCACGGGCGCAGCGGGCAAGGTGTACAAGGCCGTCCTCGGGAACGGCGCCCGCGGCGGCGACGACGGCGCCGTCGTCGCCGTCAAGAAGCTCTGGGCTAACGGCGGCGCGGCGAAGAAGGCGGCGGCCATGGAAGCCGGCGGCGGCGGCGGCGGCGGCGGCAAGGACACGTTCGAGGCGGAGGTGGCGACGCTGGGGAGGATACGGCACAAGAACATCGTGAAGCTGTGGTGCAGCCTCAGCAGCGGCGACCGGCGGCTGCTCGTCTACGAGTACATGCCCAACGGCAGCCTCGGCGACCTCCTCCACGGCGGCAAGGGCGGCCTCCTCGACTGGCCGGCGCGGCACCGCATCATGGTCGACGCCGCCGAGGGTCTCTCCTACCTCCACCACGACTGCGCACCGCCGATCGTGCACCGCGACGTCAAGTCCAATAACATCCTCCTCGACGCCGACCTCCGCGCCAAGGTCGCCGACTTCGGCGTCGCCAGGGCCGTCTCCGCCGCGCCGCCCACCGCCGTGTCCGCCATCGCCGGCTCCTGCGGCTACATTGCCCCCGGTGAGTTAATCATTGCGCACCTCGATCGCCATCGCCATGGCGCCCGCTAACGATTCTTGATTTCCCAGAGTACTCGTACACGCTGCGTATCACGGAGAAGAGCGACGTGTACAGCTTCGGCGTGGTGATGCTGGAGCTCCTCACCGGCAAGGCGCCGGCGGGGCCGGAGCTCGGGGAGAAGGACCTCGTCAGGTGGGTGTGCGGCTGCGTCGAGCGCGACGGCGTCGACCGCGTGCTCGACGCGAGGCTCGCCGGCGCGCCGCGCGACGAGACGCGGAGGGCGCTCAACGTCGCGCTGCTCTGCGCGTCCAGCCTCCCGATCAACCGCCCGTCGATGAGGTCCGTCGTGAAGCTGCTGCTGGAGCTCCGGCCGGAGAGCAAGGAGAAGGCCATGGCGGAGGAGAAGCCTCTCCTCGTTTGATCACACAAAGCCAGCACTGATGAACACACTGAACAGTAGTACCTCACTTTAATTAGCAATTAGCATAATCACTCGCTTCAAAAATCAGTTAGCATAATCACATTAACAATCAGTAGTAATTAATGTACTCAAGTACCCAGCATTAAGGTTGAAGCCTCAAGCATGCAATGTAAGCTAGAACTACTTAAGTAAAGGTCCTCTATGTATAGCTCATTCTAGTATTTTCATGGGTTAATGTACTACTACCAGTTTGTCTAAAGTATCAATGCCAACAAGGATTTGGTTTAAGCTAGATGGTGCTAACACTTTTGACTCTGTGGACCATCTGCATTATTCTGTGCTCATTTCAGACCCTGAAAAGTGAAAAAGGTGCCTCTTGTTGTACCTGAACTTGTTGAGCGGCTTTTTTCCATTTTACATGTTCAGTTATCACTTGCTATCAGTTTATCACACAGACACATGTATAAGATATAGTGATTGATTTGGCTTGGATCGAACAAACTATTGGGTAGTAATTACTCATAGCAATCTAAAATCGTATGGAACACAACATAGTACAATAAATTTGGATAGATCTCCTGTCCAAATTAATTGTACTATGTTATGTCCCATTCAGTTCAGATTCATATATTATGGGATAAGGGGAGTAAAATTGCTATTTTAGTTTTAACATGTTAATTACTTTTCATTTTAGTATAAGCATTTCTAGGTATGTACCTGAACATCATCTCTCGACCCGGATAAATATGATCCTTCAGTGCTGTAATTTTTGGGCCATTCAGTGCTCCATTCAATTGCAGGCTTAGGTTGCAGCTTTTGCTATTAAGTTGGGAGCATTCAGCTGTGGTGGAGATCAAGTGACAGCAACAGAACAAGAGGCTGTACAGAAGCTGTGCTGGCTCTTTTCCCTTCTTCCCTTACCTTTCTGCTAGCCTGCAGGGTTTAGATCCAAAAAGGTTAGGTGATTTGTTGTTGGGATTACTGTTGGGCTTTGCATCTGTCAGGATATGCAAATTGTGGACACAGTCTGGAGTCCTGGACCATAGCCACACAACTGTGTAGTGAATGTCTGCATCTACAGTAACATGTACATTTGGTGTCAATGGTCCTGAAGAAAACCTTTATGAAATGCTAAGCTCCAAATTGTCCTTCATAGATTTCAGAGAAAATGTTTTTACTGTCTTTAAGTCCTTTGTCACTGACTGATCCAGACAATTACCCTCTGCTTGGACAGTTTATATGAGGGGACAGGATCAGCATCAGTGAATTTTCGTTTTCACTTCTGTAACTAACTGAATTCAACGGCTGCCGCACACCATAGCACAGTAACCAGTTAACCCCAAACTTGCCCAAGTGTCTGTCTGAATTACATGTGGGTCCATGCTGTTGGTACTAGTAGTAGACAGGAGACTCTTCGGATAGCCTACTATATCAATGGTTCTTTCTGAGAGGATATATGACAGGGTCACGATCAGAATGGTCGGCTTGTTGCCTGCTGATATTTCAAGGATTTTCAGTTTTACATGTCTTTATCGTCGAGTTTTTCTTGATTCACGTCAACTGAAAATACTTAAAAGTAGAGTCGTCCATCCACTCTAAAAACAATTTGAGTCTACTAATTATATGGGCCCATAAGCTTATGAATCAATGTTTATTGGTATGCACAGGTATATTACTATTTAACTGAAAATTCACATAAAGTTAGCACAAATGTTTCAAGAAAAGTTGACCACCGAAAAGACTGCAAAATCTATTTCAGAAAGGAGTTCACAAAGTTTTTTTCTGTTCAAACTTATTATGATCCAAACATTATCTATATATTTCAGCCCCACTGTTGTCGAAATTAAAAACTTGAAACCAAAAGGCAATCTCTCTATCCATGGATGCACATTGCCAATTCGCCTTCTTTTCAGAGGAGCAGAGTGGTATGGCAAGCAGCTGGGAGACTGAAGAAATGGACAGCCAAAAAATGCAGAGACGATGGGACTGCAGGGGCACGCCTGCCTGACCAAAGTGGCCTTTGGAGACAACAAGCACACACTCCCCTACTACTGAAATTCAGATAATCTTTTTAGCTTCCGTTCTAGTGCTGCCGTCGTTTTCCTTCACAGGTGCACATCCCTGTCTATCTGTCTGTCTGAAACTCTGAACATCAACAAAGTTGCTAAAGCTGAAAAGGAATAAAGCACAAGGGTTTGGAAGTTTCCTTCAGTGGGAATTTCTGTCTCAGGTCACATTCAGTGGCATGTTTTGTGTAATCCATTACCTCCATTAGTGCATGAAAAAAAACATTGTCTTTGGACTAAGAGGAAGTGTGTTTGTGCCGTTTATGAAATGAGGAGTTTGAGTTCCTATACCGATCAACTGAATTATAATAACAGGAGTTTCCAAGAGATGTTATTGCGAAATCAATACCAGTCCATCTGTCCCTCTTTGCTTCTTCTTTTGGGGGATATGCAAAAGGAGTTGTGTTGCATCATGTCCAACTTTGCTGCTCGGTTTTGCAAAGAAGGCTTCTTGATTCAACACCCTCTACAGTCCAAAATTTGTGGTTGTTATGATGTGTTCATTTTCTAAGATGATACATAGCATTGGGTAACCATACACAAAGAAGGAATTGTGCCATTTTGCAACTGGAATAATAAAAAAGAACACCAAATAGTAGGCGAGGTAATCCCATTTGGAATCCAATTATTAGTTATTTTAAACAAAACTCGCAACTCTAAACTATCTGCTAAAAAAATCCCTTAATAAATACTCCATCCGTTTCAGGTTATAAAACATTTTGACTTTGGTCAAAGTCAAACTGCTTTAATTTGACCAAGTTTATAGAAAAAAGTAGTAGTATTTTCAACCCAACACAAATTTATTATGAAAATATATTCAATTATTGATTTGATGACACTAATTTAGTATTATAAATATTACTATATTTGTCTATAAATTTAGTCAAACTTAAAACAGTTTGACTTTGACCAAAGTCAAAACGTTTTGTAACCTGAAACGGAGGGAGTAGTGGTTTTCCAATTGATGTACTGTTAAATTTAATCTTATGTTCTAGAGCACATAATTTGGGATAATCAGCTAACCAAACAGTCAAACACCAACATGCCCAACGGGTAGTCCAACCAAACAAGAGTACGATAATCCTTCGTAATTCCATTCCAAACAGGATTTTGGGCATGTTTGGTACAGCTCCAGGTCTAGAAGAGGTGGATCTAGGTGGAGCTCTCTTACAAAATGAAATAGACTGGTGGAGCTGTGTTTAGGTAGCTCTACAACTCCACTCCAGACCCAACTCCTGTAGTTAAATTTAGGAGTTGGAGCTCTACCAAACAGACCCTTTATTGCCAGCAGAACTCCCCAAAAAATAATACAAATCTCGTTTTGAAACTCTACCATTTTTTTCCCAAATCATGCCGCTCAAGAGAAACTACAATAGAGCCATGCTATCGCTGTAGTCAACAACCGAAGCGCAGATAAAGAATGGCAGTGCATGATTTGATTTTTGTGGATGATGGAATCCATGGAAATGACATTCATGGAAGCCTCCCCATGATTAACCCAAAGATTTACAAGAGGCATGCTTATGTTGTGTGGGCTCCATGAATCTGCTCTAAAGTTCTATTACCAAAAAGCTCCCACTACTCGTTAGGTTTTTTCAGAAAGCCCATGGACAATCCTGCAGTACGGTGCCTAACCACAGGAGGACACGATGGCTAAAAAGCCAACAGAAAACTAAGCAAAGTAACACTCTGATGTGAAGTAATGTAACTGAGAAAGAAGGTGAGAAAAAATTGTTTAGCAATGAAATTATACTATCTGCATACATACTGGGAGAAGCACTAGCAATCCATTGTCTACCATTTCTTTCTTTCTTTCTTTTGCATCTCATTTGTTTTATCTCAGGTTGAGTTGCCCAATCCAAACTTGCCACCTGCAAAAGTTTTCATCTGGGTATGTTGGATATACCATTTGTGTTTGCGACACATCAAGAGAAGTTGTGGGATAGAGACATGACAAAAGCAACACCATGATCTGATTGTAGTAAACATAGGGAAAGGTTAACAAAAAGATAACACTGCAGAAAAAACAGGTTTCAGAAGGAATGGAACAATTGAGCATCAACAGTATCAGCAATTTGGTAGGTTTTCACAAACATCTGATCCTAATTGAGTGACTGAACAACGCACTCAACACACTAAATTTGATTTATACTTCACATATAAAACCCAACTGTATTAGTGCAACTGTTTGGTGACATCAACAGGGAGCAAATGGGGGTTACTCAGATAACTCAGCATCAACAAATGTTAACATCAGCGTGTTATGTAAAGAATGGTGCAAAGAATAGAAAATATATATTCTCCAGCAACCTTTTTTGGGATTTTTTTTCCGCCATGCTCTTCAATCGGTATAATTGAGTCTCCATAGTAAGTTAACAGTATTTAGTATATGCTGATCCATGGCACTGCCAACGACCCCTTCAGAACTTTGGCAGGTTGAAATGTACTCTTCGCTCGGGAAAGTCTGGTGGGCGCTGGTATACAACTGAAGCAGCATGAATTAAGATGCGTGCAGTCAGGCCCCAGATTAAGTACTTTTGGTTCTCTTTCTCATAATTGAAGTAATGAATTGTGAATGTCTGCCCCATCTTTTCGCGCTCCTCAGATGTCCTATTTTCATCCTGCAGCGTTCCAGAATGGATTGGATGTCACAATGTCCCAAAAAAAAAGAAAAAAGAAGCAGATTTCTTTTGCCATTATTTGCACATAATAATTAATTTACTGTATTAACCCATGCAATTCTGGTAACTTTCCAAAGCAGTTCAACGTACATAACAGAGCATGTTCCAAAGTAAATCACTGCAGCATGGTAACTATGGCAGTTATGCCTGGACATTTTTAACAGTGAATTGTTATTTTGTACAGTAAACTGCAAATGTCAGTATGTCATGAACATGGAATGAAGGATGTAAAAAATTTACTACTCATAAAGTACAAACAATGTGATGCCTTTTAATTAATACAGTAAGAAGATAAATAAACTGACCTTGAGGAACATCTCCAGCGGTACATCAAAAATGTCATCTACCTCATCGACATTAAGAACAGGCTTAAATGCTTCTATATCTGAGAGGATGCCAACAATAGGAACAACCACCAGAAGATGCTGCAAGAATGTTTAAAGATTTGTATTTGTAACACCAGAAAAAAAATAAAAAAAGATTTCCCTATTTTTTATTGATGCATTGCAACACAGTTTTCTCTGATCTAAGAAAAAATTTCAGTTTCGATGTAAAAGAAGACCGAAAGGCATTGCACCTTTGACAAGAAATGCTCTAAAGAGGCAACAACAGTGACCAAAGAAGGATCAAGCCCAATCTCCTCCTTTGCCTCTCTCAGTGCTGTTGCTGCATCATCAGCATCACCTTCCTCAGCCTTCCCTCCTGGCAATGCAACCTCGCCTGACAATCTCAAATTTAGGCAAGAAACTTAGTTAAGAAAAAGCATAGAAGCAGCATTGGGCATCTATGAGCATCCATCAACACTTTGGGGTGTAGTTGAAGCAAGTTTAGATAAAATGAGCCAGGGCAGACTACATTTGGATCAGCTCACCTGAATATGCTGACTCAAACCAAGTCAGCTCTCTAGTAGAGCCAGAAGCTCAATTTATAACTCTTGTGTAAGCCAAACCTATCTTGAGACCATTTGTGAGCTCAAGTCCCCAAACTCAAAATCTATAACAAGAAAATATATGAGCAGGCTTGGTTTCAAAAGTATTTCAGAAAGTCAGCTTGTTTCATTTCACTTCAGAACCAAATCTCAAGTTGCTCAAACAATTCCTGAGGTGAGGCCAAGTCGCTTAAAATTTGTAAATTCTGATGCACCCTACTTGTTTTTCTCAAGTAGACACCGAAGTAAGAAATGCTATGATGTTCCTAGTATAAGTCCAATCATCTGTACAAATTGTTTGTTCAAAACATTCCACAAAAGCCAGTTGGCTAATAATGTTGAAGTGGACAAGACAAGAGAGAAACAACTATATCATTTGTAAACTAACTTCATGAATGAATCACCCACATGGTAGAAACTAGAAAGTGACTCCCTATCATATTTGTGAACTATATATTAACACCCCCCCCCCCTCACCCCCAAAAAGAAAAAATGTTTCAATCTGACATAATACTATGATAAAATTATCACAAAACTACAGATTTAACTCGGTGTATCACAAAACTACACATTTATGATGAAGTGTCACAAAACTACATGTTTATTAACTAAATTACCACAAGACTACAAGTTTAGAACCAATTTAGTCAGAAAGCAATAATGTTTATAGCTCCAATATAACAATGGTGCTAGGGATCTAAACTCCAAGTTGTAGTTTTGTGATTACTTCAATATTAAATATGCATTTTTGTGATACTTAACCTTAAAACTGTAGTTTTGTGATAAATTTGATGCTAAATCTGTAGTTGTAGTTTTGTGATACAACACATTAAATCTATAGTTGTAGTTTTGTGATAATTTGGTCAAAATACCTGTATTTTTGTGAAATTTACTCTAATATTTTTTATATAAACTACTATAGGCACCGTAGAGGACACTAGAAACAGAAGAAACTTACATCTATGCCACTAAAATACCTGAACAAAATCCACCAAAAAATCACGAACTCTTGCTCCTCTATGCTCTCAGAAACAATTATATTTGCTTCATTGACCTTAGCAAAAATGCCAAGAACTAACGGCCAATCCCCCTTGGGGACCGATGGAAAGAAGAAAGCGCCTAGGGAATGCCCGCCCCCCTCCCCCCACATTCCCCAACCTACCGCTCGCATGGACCGCAATGGCGAGCCCCGCTGCCGACAAATCTCCGAGCTTACCCGCAAGAATCCGATCGATCGCACTCGCGCCCGATCGCCCAACGGACCCCCCCACACCACACCACACCACGCGAAGGCGATGCGAGGGAGGAGGAAGGAAGGAAGGAAGCGAGCTCACCGGAGTGGGTGGAGAGGGAGGAGGATCGCTTGGTGAGGATGACGCGGAGCTCGCCGTCGCCTCCGCGGCGGCGGAAGAGGCAGACCAGCACGGCGGCCCTCCGCGGCCGGAACAGCTCGCCGCCGCCGCCGGCCGCCGTGGTCGAGGCGCCGTCGTACGGGGAGGGAGGCGGCTGGTACAGCCTGAGGCGGCGGACGAGCGCCTCGATGCCCTCCACCTCCGTCGTCCCCACCATGGGAAGGATGAGAGATCGGAGAAGGTGAGAATGGTGGAAGGGGAGGAGGGCTCGTTTCCTTCAGTCGACACGACAGCAATGGCCTGCCTACTGTACTGTGTTGCGTTGTGTGTGTGTCGCGTACAAAGTTGACCGTTGACCCCCGCCAAGAACGCATTTGTAATTCTGTATTTATTTTTATTTATATTACTTCCTCAGTTTTATATTATAAACAGCTTTTTAAGTCAAACTACTTGTTTAAGTTCGATAAGTTTATATAGAAAAACATATTAGTACTTACAACACAAAGTAAACATATTATTAAAATATATTTGGTGCTAGATTTAACGAGACTAATTTGGAGTTATATTGCTAATTATTTTTATAAAATTGATTAAACATAAAAAAGTTTGATAACTTATGATAGGATGAAACAGAGAAATATTATCTAAAACAAAAGGGTTTAGAGCTTCGAAATGTACTCCTTCCATTCCAAAATATTTTGGAACTACGGAAGTATATTTTTGAAATCGTATTAACAGAAAAAAAAAAACATATGAACAAATTGTTCAATCCAATTGATCACATGAATTTGTGACAAATGTTGTTGGTGGCACTAAAAGAAAATCATAGTTACTTTTCGAGTAAGGAAGAGAAAGCACGAGGCTAGAGTTCTCCTTCTCGTTTCCAAAATAAAAACCGCTCCTCACCGATTTATAAAAAATCTACAAAAACCAGTAAAAACCAACGATTTTTAGTCAATGTTGTACGAAAACCAACTAAAACGCTTGTTACCACAAACTAATGATCAGTGGTTTTACGAGAACCGATCGTTTTTGGAACCCTAGGTCAACCGGTTCCAAGTTAGTTTCTCACAAAAATTCTATGAAATAGGTATTTTCATAGTAGGAATTTGTTAGTTTTCCACCAAAATTCTTGTAGAAATGGGCCATTCCCCTGGAATATCATAGAATTTTGTGGAAGCCAATCTAGAGCAGAGTTGGATTATTTTTCATAGGATTGCAATCTTTCATTTCATCACATTTTCCTTTGTTACAAAGGAGCCCTTATTACAGTAACTAGATGATGCTCCGCACTTTGCTGCGGGATATATGTTAGATAACGGAGAAATGATGAAATCATTCGAATTGAAATATTATGAAAATGATTTAAGAATAATGATTTAGTATGTGTATGTTTAGTTTTGGAATGAAATAAATTATAGATATAATTATTATATGCTTGTATCTTGAGGATTTGTACTTAACATGTTGATGTGACATGCTTGCATGTAGGTTTTAGGAGTACTAATAAATACTATGTTTGGATGTTGAGCTTTAGGTCAAAGTTGACCGTTGAACCCCCCCCCCCCCCCCCCCGCCAAGATTTGTAGTTCTGTATTTATTTTTATTTATTACTTCCTCCATTTTATATTATAAACAGCTTTGTTTTTTTAAGTCACACTTGTTTAAGTTTGATAAGTTTAAATAAAAAACATAGTAGTATTTACAACACAGAGTAAACATATTATTAAAATATATTCGATGCTATATTTAACGAAACTAATTTAGAGTTAAGTTGCTAATTATTTTTATAAACTTGATTAAGCATAAAAAATTGACTATTACTTATGATATGAAACGAAGAAAATATTATATAAAACAAAAGGGTTTTTAAGCTCCGAAATGTACTCCTTCCATCCCAAAATATTTTAGAACGACGGAAGTATATTTTTGGAATCATAAGAGAAGAAAAAACATACGAACAAATTGTTCAATCCAATTGATCACGTGAATTTGTAACAAATGTTGTTGGTGGCACTAAAACAAAATCATAGTTACTTTTGGACCAAGGAAGAGAAAACACGAGGCTAGAGTTCTTCTTGTTTTCAAAATAAAAACCGCTCCTCACCGATTTATCAAAAATCAATGAAAACTAGCAAAAACCAACGATTTTCAGTCAATATTGTACGAAAACCAACTAAAACGCTCATTACCACAAATAATGATCAGCGGTTTTACGAGAACCCATCGTTTTTAACCCTAGGCTAACCGATCCCATGTTAGTTTCTCACCGAAATTCTCATGAAATAGGTATTCCATAGGAACTTGTTAGTTTTCCACCAAAGTTCTTGTGAAATGGGCCATTCCTCTAGAATATCATAGAATTTTGTGGAAGCCAATCTGCAACAGAGTCGGATTATTTTTTATAGGATTGCACTCCTATATTTCATCACCTTTTCCTTTGTTACAAAGGAGCCCTTACCTATTACAATAATTAAATACTGCATTTGCAAAACTTTTTCAGATACAATAATGGCTGGATTAACAGGGAAAAATTGCTCCATGTTGATTGTCAGACTAAAAAAAATCATTTTTATGGGTAAAACTAAAAAATATCATAGTAATTGTGTGGAGAGGAGCAACGGAACACCGGGTATTGCTAGTGGGTGGGTGATCACCTTCCTCTCCTCCTAGCGATCACCCGTCCCTCCCCCTGTACGCTCTTCCTCTCCCTCTTTCCTCCTCCCCTTCTTCTCTTCCTACTACAGTACACCATAATATTTTTTTTAAGAAAAAACAAAGTTGGAAAATTTATGCACAGAAATACTATATATAAAAAATTTGAATTCAAATTCAAATTTGAAACGGGTATGTAAACTTTTGACTTATAAACTTTGGGTCTATAAACTTTAAACTTTAGATGTATAAACTTTAGATGCATAGAAATACTATATATAAAATATATTTGAATTCAAATTCAAATTTGAATCAAATATAATTCAAATTCAAATTTAAATCGGGTATGTAAACTTTTAACTTATAAAATTTGGGTCTATAAACTTTAGGTATATATACTTTAGATGTATAGAAATACTATATATAAAAAATATTTGAATTCAAATTCAAATATGAATCGGATATAATTTAAATTCAAATTTGAATCGGGTATGTAAACTTTTAGATGTGTAAACTTGAGGTGTATAAACTTTAGGTGCATAAATTTACTAAAATAGGAAAGTAATGCGGTGCCAAAAAAGGAAACCACGTGGAGGAGAGGGGGGCGCGCTAGGGGCGATCGATCGCCCGTTAGCCATTTCGCAGAACACCGCTGCCGCCGTCCGTCAAGGACTCAAGAGAGCCAAGACTGGGCTTTCTCCCGGCAACCGCCCTTAAGGTGTGAGACAGCACGACAACGCCCTCAGGAGGGAAAATGACACTCGAGCGTCATCGTTGTTGGTCCGGCCAAGACCGAGCTGGGTTTTCACCCACCATCCACCACCTGCCAATCTACCATACATGCACCACTGCTCCACCGCCAACTAAACTTCCGCCGGCGTGTGGGCACATCGCACCGGCGCCCCCCGCCAGCCAGTCTTCGCGTGCAGCTACCTTGCCGGGCTCCGTCTCCATCGGCTTCGCCTCCTGCTGCACAGCCATCACGTGCCAGCAGTCCTCGACATCGCTGGCCACGCTGCATGGCTACCGGCTGCACGGCTGTCAGCCACAACATGCCGGCATCGGCCAGCCATAGCCCCCCCCGGCCCTCGCCGTCACCCACGCACCTCCTGCCCCTCCGCCGCCGTCGCGGCCTCCGCCTCCGTCTCCAGCGCCTCCGCGCTGTTGCGCCTGCCGCCGCCAGCCACACCCTCCGTCACTGGCGCCCGCAACCACCGCATCCACAAGATGCTACCACCGCCACCAGTCGTCATCCCGCTCCACCACCGCCAGATCCGGCCGCCGTGGCGTCGGCGCCGCCGTCGCCATCCCACAACAAGTGCGGTGGGAAGTGTGCTAGCACTTGTCCTCGCCAGATCCAGCGCGAATCTGGCGGCCTTGTCCTCCGCAGCCAGCGCCTCCAAACTCCGCCGCCACCCCCGCCAAACGCAGCCGCCTGAACGCCCTTCCCCGCCAGGTCTGGCCGGTCGGCGCGGATTTGGGCGGTTTCCGCCTCCCAACGCCGGGCAATCCCCCTGCCCTTGTGCGGTGAGACGGAGCGAAGCCCCGCCACCGCTGTCCTTGTGGCCGTACGGCTTTGCCGGCAGCTGCTCGGGCGGCGACGAGGTGGAGGAGGGAGGGCGGTGGGCGACGGCGAACGGGGCGCCTCCCGTGTCACCTGAGAGGAGGTGACGCGAGAGTAGATGCTCTAGTTTGTGTGATAACAGCTTGCTAGTTCCATAAATAAGAACAAATGAATCGGCCATCGTTGTTCCCTTCGATCAAGAGGCTGCCATACAGAAATAAATTACGGATCTCGCTGGATCAGTCACCACACACCAGTGGCATGAATATGGTTAACTTAGTATATATTTCCTTTTACCACCGCAAAACAATACATCGAATAATAGGTACATTCTGAGCATAACAATGTAAATTAGTGCAAGTTTAATAGTACAGTCAATTCATAGTTCTAAATCATCTATAGCCAATTTATACCATAGTTATCTATAAATATACACTACACAATTAATATCTGGTTCTATCTCTCATACACGCATAGCTTCCTGAAATCCGTATCCGTGTTGCAGTTGGCTATAAATTTATAACTCACTTCTTTTCTCTCTGCTCTCTCCTCTCTCCTCTCTTATCTATGTACATCACTCTCACTTATAGATGGCTTATACTGCTATTGCACCTGCTCTTATGACTGGAATTGGAAAAAGGATTCTCTTTTGGGGGTGATGCCAGCATAACAGGACTTTGCTGCATACAGTGAGAGTGATGTACATATGAAAGTAAAATTATGACCTCAAGACCGATGAACAGAAGCAAAACCATAATACTTATGGAATGTAAATATACAATCAAGTTTATGAAATACTGACCTGTATTGAGAAAGTCAGCAGATGCATAACCGTAGATTGCCCTACTGTTCTTATTGGAAATGAACATGGTTATCTAGCTCTCCCAATAGCTGGTGTCAATCATCGTAGGTAACCATGATAATTTGTGGTTACTATCCCAGACAAGGATCCACAAACAGCAAGAGTCCAATCCATTGTTTCAAAGGATGAACTGAAAGCAACTAGAAAACTTATAAGCTCAGAGAAAAAGGAAACTTATGAATGATTACTAGATGCAATGTAGAGTGGTCCATGTTACTAGGACCAGAGTTCTGCTAGCAGCCACCATCCAGATTGAGGAAGCAGATTAATGAAGAATCAACTGGGTAAGAAGTACAAAGTGAATTTACAAGCTTCCAGCACTAACTAAATAATGGACTCAACCTGATTTTGACATATTACAAACTGTTTTAGTACAAGTCTTTGTTTACATCAATACTTATTGGGACAACTGGGGGTAGGGATGACAGTAGTTTAATCCATAGGTGCCCATTGCCCAACTCTATTTCACCTACAAATAAAGAAATAAAGAAAAAGTGTGTTTTTAGTAAAACTAGCGGACTAATGGGTACCCATATTTATAATGGATTACTCCCATCTAATCAGGGATTTGGGGTGTACTCGAATAGCATTAACATTTTCATAAATGTTAATGTTCTCATAGTATTATGTACAAAAAATGTGCAAAGAATATAAACTATAAAACAACCTTTTGATTCAGTACCAATCTTTTGAGATGAAATCTGCTCTGCTGTACACCCCAATGGTCTACAACTGAAATTGTATTGTAAACATTAGTGTTTCACAGGTGCTGCTCATGGCATTGAAGAACACTCCTTTGAGTACTTCGGCAAGTTGAATTGCACTGTTCGTGCAGGAAAGTCTGGTGGCCGCTGGAATACAACTGAAGCAGCATGTATCAGGATGCCAGCAGTCAGACCCCATATTACGTACTTCTCACTCCCTTTCTCGTAATTGAAGTAATGAATTGTGAATTCTTGTCCCATCCATTCACGCTCCTCAGATGTCCTTTTCTCATCCTGCAGTATTTGATCAGCAGGTTGAAGATAGAAATGACACCAAGTCACTGAGATATTCCATGATTTCAGTAAAATAAGTGGTTTCTTTATCCCCTAGTTTGTTCCATATGTTGAAAAAAAAAACTATAATAGTATGCTATTCTGGTTAAGTCTAAACTCTAACCTATATTACCACTGTACAGAAAACTACAGTATGGAAAACTATGTGGTTGGTATCTTTTACACAATAAACTGGTCTCCTTTGTTTTTTTGTTATAAGTTGGAAATATCACAAACATGCAACCCAGGTTCACATAAAAGCCTGGAAATGTGTGTGGTCCTTTAATTAGCATGGTGGAAAAGACAGTGATAATACCAACCTTGAGAAACATCTCCAAGGGTACATCGAAAATGCTATCCACCTCATCAACATTAAGAACAGGTTTAAATGCTTGTATATCAGAGAGTATGCCAACAACAGGGACAACTACCAGAAGATGCTGCCAAAAATATGGAGAATATTAATCCTGATGATGACATTGTAAGAGTAATCTTATTACTGATTGCTAGTAGAAACAAACTAAAAGTAATTAAAACAGTGGGGCACAACAGCATAAGAATTGTAGTGGAGTTGGATATTAAGTATTGAAGCGAAGCAAAGGAACTACATTTTAGAATTGCAACAGTGCAACAAAGTTAGTAATTTACATGAAAAAACATAGAATTAGCCTCTCCCAGCTAATTCAATTTGAAGAGACTACCTATATATGTGTAAAATGAATTGAAAATTTTGGATAATTTTCTATATGAGTTTCACTTGACCTCATGACATGACAAGGCACAAGTACCAAGTTAGTCTTAATAAAACATGTGGCGAGCACAATTCAAACTTCAAAGGACAAATTAGCTAAATGACATGTGAAATGATCCATCAACAGACGGATCATACTAGTAAGACTAGCCTTCAGATGTAATCAAAACCTAAACAAGACAACCAAGACAGCAAAAGTGACCATGTTCACAGTTCCTTCAATGAAAAAATAATGTGCACCATGCAAAGACCTATAGTCCCACAGTAACATTGGTAACAAAATTTGGTTCGTTTCAACTTACAATTTTAATATTCGGTCTTTGAGAATTAAGTTTCATTTGCGATGCATGATATCAATTCAAAGCACTAAAGTACAATATGGTTTTCTGTGGCATGCAAACATGATTGCTACCAAACAAGAAAGGATTTTGGAAAGAACAGTTAGCAGCTTATGCATCAAAACATCTATAAGCAGATCCTGAGTCAAGTTGGTTTAGTTGCCCGTGTTTGGTTCTAAAATATTATTAAGGAAAATGGTGTATAGTTCCATCTTCCTTGCTGTTTCATGTGGTGTAAGGGAGAGCCAAATGGTATTCTACCTTTGACAAGAAGTGCTCAAGAGAGGCAACAACAGTAACAGAAGCTGGATCAAGTCCAATCTCCTCCTTTGCCTCCCTTAATGCTGTTGCTGCATCATCAGCATCACCCTCCTCAGCCTTTCCTCCTGGCAAAGAAACCTCCCCTGCAAACCCCAGATGGAAGAAATAAAAATCAAGCAGGTTTCAGAAGCCAATTTGAGCTAAGCAAGCTCTCTGAGGCAGCCAAAAAGATGGATCAGCTAAAGGACCATTTTTTAGCTTGAATCTGTAGCAGCCAAAACGAGCAGAGCAAAATGAAGGTTGTATGGGTTTGGAATTAAGGAACCAACTCATATTATTTTATTTACCCTATCTAAATCAATTGCTGAGCTCAAAGCCTTTCCGTGGACCAGGGAAAAAAGGGCACCCAGTTAGGCCAGCAGCAACAGTGCAACACTGATAAGGAGACCAGCCCATATGCACCTTAGAATATTGCATAGTACAAGCATTGCATGATAGTTTTTGAAGCATATTGTTAGCATCTGGTGCACCCTACTTGTCCAAGCAAGCACCAAAGATTCAATGTCATTATCAGCATCCAACCATGCAATCAATTCCAACCATTTGTCCAAACTGTTAACTCAACAAAACACCGCAAGTACGCTCCTCATGTGCTCAGGATAACTAAAATATGTGAAACCAGCATCAGAAAACAAATGTGGTCCATTTCGCGTATATCATTACAAACAACTGTCAGGCCACCATCCTATTATTATGCCATGGTTTATGTCACTAATGTCAATGCAAAATTGATACCCATTTTTAAATATGATCGATGCTCATTGGATGCTTGCTATATATTTACGCCAAATAAATAGGGTCAAAGACTCTGCCGAGGAAAAAAAAAAGGTTTCATCATAAACGCCACCCTCCACATTAATGGAATAGCTGAGACCACGGTAAAATCGTCCTTGGATTAATCGATGACAGCCTAAGATTTCTGTAAGAGATTACAATTTAGAACTGTAGTACTCGATTATAGTTTATTGCTTTGCAACTTCTTCCAAAAAAAAAAGAAATTCGCAGCGGTATACGCCCGAAACAGCAATTCACCTACGAATCGTAAAAAGAAGAAGCACTGGAAATGGCGATACTCTATAAGACTATAACCAGTAATTTGACCCATTCCCCTCAAAGGCTTCTCACCTTGCCCAAAGTATCCGATCGATCGATCATATCGAGGAGAAGCAGAAAAAAGATTGGGATCGATGATACCGAGGACAGCTCACCGGAGTGGGAGGAGAGTTTGGAGGAGCGCTTGGTGAGGAGGACACGGAGCTCGCCGGCGGCGCCGCGGAAGAGGCAGATCAGCACGGCGGCCCTCCGAGGGCGGAACAGCAGCTCGGCCGGCGGCGCGGCCGCGTCGGGCGAGGGGGCCGCCGCGGCGGCGTACGGGGAGGGGCGCGGGCGGTGGAGCCTGAGGCGCTGGATGAGCGCCTGGATGTCGGCGCCGGGTGCCTCCATGGAAGGTGGGATGGTGAGATCGGTGGACATGGAAAGCTTTGGCACTTGGGTCTGCGCGGTCGTGTACAGTGTAGACGGTCTCCATTTATAATACAGCAATGCTACGCTGGTGTACTGTCCCCGTCCTAAAATATGCTCCATCCTTTCTAAATTTTCTAAATTGATCATCATATAATCGCATAAACACGGATTTCATCGAAATACAATTAACACATTATAGAAGAATATGTACATGCTAGGGTGTAATTCGTATGATGCTTTAATCGAATGCGTACATGGTATCTTAATTGATGCGATTTAAATTATCTTTGGTCTTGATGCATAAACATATATAATGATCATTTTGGGTTAGAGGGAGTAATAACTTAGAATTGGATAGAAAATTTACTATTACTGTAAATATGGATATTCATATCTTGTTCGGTCCTAGCTATTGATATTTTGGATGAAGGAAACACATAATAGAAAAACAGTTACAAATATAAATTTCTCAACAATGTGATCTAAATGATTAGAAGTAAATCAAGATTTGGTCCTAATGTACCATATCATGTTATGTTCTTAAAATATTTATAAGAATCTGTTTTTATTTTAAAAAATTACAAGTATATATATATATATATATATATATATATATATATATATATATATATATATATATATATATATTTGTATACACAGGTGCACATTCATCTCTTTAAACTAGATGAAGCCCCCACTTTGCGGTGAGATATATGGATATATGTTGAATGTCGTAAAACTTATCGATGGATTTGATTTGGGTAAATATTGTGAAAATAACATGAGAAATGATAATTTAGCATGCTTGTATCTTGAGGTTTAGAATGTACTCTCCCTCCATCCACAAAAGTTACACATATTTCACATTTAAGTTTTTCCAAATAAATTGTTTCTATTTTTAGTTTGTATACATTCAAGACTTAAATGAAAAGATAAATTAAGTGTTTGATTAGAACCTAAGAAGTTATTTAAATACTCATTGGTTGCATGGTTGTATTCACTCATTGATTTTGTAACATCCAAGATGATTTAATTTCTTCTTGGTCTTAGTGATAAAAATAATATGTGTAACTTTTGTAGACGGGGGAGTAATGAATTGTAGATGTTATTATTAGACATGTATGTTGAGTTTTAGGTGCTTAGTGGATTGACGTGGCATACTTATCAATAGATTTGATTTGGAGTAAATATTGTGAAAATAATGTAAGAAGTGATAATTTGGCATACTTGTATGCTAGAGGTTTAGAATGTAATGAATTGTAGATGTTATTGCTATGCATGCATATTTGGTTTTAGGTGTTCGGTGGGTTGATATGACATGCTTGTATGTTAATCTTTACGATGTAGTAATAACTAATATGCTTGTATGTTGAGATTTAGATACATAATGAGTTGTAACTTTATATAATGTATAGAAACATACAAACACACATTATCTTTGGGCATGTTTGGAGGAGAAAAACCAGCTTTTAGGTTCTGGTTCGTTTTATGAATTCTAGCCTTCCAAGAATCTGAAAAAGAGAAGATTGATTGGAGTAGTTTTTATTCCGAAAGAAGCTATAGGCTTAGTTCACGATGCATATATTAAATTTGATTAATCAAGTCGCCTCGCCATACACATCTCTACGTGGTCTTGCATGTATTTCCATTTCTATCTTGCTTCCGTTATTTACGAAAAATACTCTCCTGTCACCAAGATGCTCAACCTTTTGGACTTGAAAAAGGGAATCTCATTGACATGTATCAGGTTCTTTGAAACATCAATAATTCAGTATGGATTATTTCTTCCAGCGGCTTTTTCGCAAGTGCCCTTCTGAAACGCATCTGTGCTTGTCCCAAGATCGAAGTGGGAGCAGTAAATAAGCAATTAGTTTTTGATTGGTTACAAACTTTTGTAATTTTTTCAGTGTGTTTTGTTCCCTTTGTAATCTGTAAATATTAATTTATTTTTATAAAATCACACTGTTGGGCAAATGCCTGACAGTAATTTACATAAAAAAAATAAACAAAAACATTGTAGCATTTCTCTGCTGTTCAACCTGGTAGGAGGCACCTGACACTCATGCGACAACGTACTTACTACTGAGTGAGCATCACTGTATCCAATCAAATTAACCCAAACTAAAATTGATATTAAACTTCCAAATTCTGACTATACAAGGTCTGTCCAGTCTCCAGAGCATGTATTTTTTTCCTGCAAGTACAATTTAACTGTATGTATTTTCAGAATCCTGATTCCATATAATTCGACTTTTGCTACATATTGCATTGAATTTTTTTTAGAACAGAATGAGCATCGGAGTTTCTAAAGACTGACGCTAATCAAAACAAAATATATTACATAATGAAATAAAAAAATGATAAAGAAAAGGTCGCTTTGCGTTTATCTTCTTGGACTGACATTGGTCCATATTTTCATTGCGAGTGCTTAACTTGGCCAATATTTCCATTATTTACTCTATCACAAAACACACCAAAAGACACGCAACATATATGTATCCACATCCTATAGTTTAGTTTCCACATTCTCAGCAGTTCTGCTGCAAACCCGTACATCTATCTGGATCTGCCTGACCACATTGTCACTACTTGCTCCCCCATATTCTAATGATGTAATATCTTTATTTCTAATTCTCTCCACCGTACTGCTACATCACATGAGTATGATATCTGAAATCCATATATAATTGCAACTGGTTGGATTGTTTTCTATGCTTAAAAGAATAGCCAAGCACCAGGCTTTTCTGCAGAAATGCTGACGAGTGATGTAGCAGGGAATCTCAGAAAATCAGACTATGACAATTTTTTTCATCATCAATTATACAGTTTAAACAATAGTTTACTGTTCAACATACCAGCAGGATAAGGCCATCTCGCATTTAATAGCAATTAAAAGATCAGCCTGAAGATAACGGATTCACAAATTGGTTAACTAGTGCAGGTAGTGGACTAGTGATACACAAAGAACACCATACTGTCATATTTGTCTCAATTTTAATTTTGAAATTTTGCAAGAAGCATTCATAAAAAATCAATCACAGGATAACCAAAGGTGCCCTGCAGCAGGCCTAGTGAACAATAGAAGTAACAGCAGGAGCTACAAGAGAAAATGTATAAGAAGATCCACCACAGCCCCCAGCGCACAGGTAAGGAATAGCTGTTATTCTTAATTACTAGAAAAGATAAGCATATGCTTCACATTACTTGCTTGAAAATAACAGATATGAGCATTTGTGAATAAGCATCAAGTGCTAAAAGACGACCTTTGTAAGCTCTAGTTGCATATATAGGATGAATAAACATGTACGTGTACCTGCCAGATTTCTTCATCCATAAGAGAATAATCCGGCACATGTTGTCCTATACGACAATAATGCATCATTCCTGAATGCCCTGAAAAACATCTGAGATGGCAGACCATTTGGAATATCTGATAGACATGTCAAGGATCCACATGCAGCATCATTACCCTTTGCTGGGGACAAAAAGCAAGCAATGTGTGAAAGAATTTTAATACGAATATAACATAACTCAGAAAAGAAGATAGAGCAATATATTTCCTTACCATTTGGTCTTGGGTGACTCAAGGATATAGGCAAGCTAAAAAACAAAAATATTTCCTTGGTAAGTTGCCCAGAAACTAAATTAAAGCTCTTGATAGTACTATTTAAATATGCTAGGTGCAAAGAAATACACAAAATTCTAACCAAATAAATGGTCAGAAAAATAATATTTGTGATATATGTTTACTTAAGGAATAACACTATCTGGATGAGAACATATCGTACACAATAGTGGACTATCAAAATTCAAGTTCATATGCCACTGGAAGTTATCATGAGAATATCTTCATCTTCACAATTAGAAAGCATCTGCTCTACTTGAAGCAACACCCTTAACATCTCATAGATCTCATCCATCTTTGGGTGTGATTTATCCTCTGCATTGAAAGAATGCACCTCATTCTTCACCTCAATCCAGCTCCACCCAGGGACTTTGCTTAATCCTCGTTTCTTCATTACCCTCTGCACTGTTGCCCTATCACTCCACATCCCAAGACCAGAATACATGCTGGACAGGAGAACATAGGTAGAGTGCTGTCTAGGTTCTGCCACAAATAGATGGCTGGCCACATCGCTTGCTAGTTCCACATTCCCATGGATTCTGCAAGCACCCAATAGGGTCATCCATACCATGGCATCTGGTTCAAATGGCATAGAATCAATTAGCTTTTTTGCTTTATCAAGCTGTCCAGCCCTCCCATACAGATCAACACCACATGCATAGTGCTCCATTCGAAGAGGAACTCCATACTTAGTTTCCATTGTATTGAGAATCTCTGACCCTTCATCTACAAGACCAGCATGACTGCAGGAAGTAATTAGGCCAACAAACGTTATGTGATCCAAAGGAGCCTTACGTTGCAGCATCTCATTGAAAAGTATGTCTACGTTTTCAGCTTGTCCATGTTGTGCATAACCAAATATCATAGCATTCCAAGGCACTGAACTACTCTTATCTGCCTCCTCAAAAGATTTCCGTGCATCGTCAATAATGCCACTCTTAGAGTACATGAAGATTAGCGAGCTGGAAACAAAATCATTGGAAGCAAAACCAGAATGGATGACTAAACCATGTATTTGTTTACCTAACTGAAGCACAGCAAGTTCAGAAGAGGACCGCAGAGCCGCAGAAAATGCATACTCATCGGTTCTAACATTTTCCGAACACATACATCTGAAGAACTTCAAGGCATCGGCACTCAAACCGTGCTGTGAATATCCAGTCAGCATAGAATTCCAGGACACTGTGTCCTTAAGCACCAAAGAGTTAAAACACTTGTATGCATCTTCCATCATGCAATTCTCATTGTACCTAGTGTACATGGCAATCAGAGCATTACAAACAGGCGTGACTCCTTCCAGAGCACTCTTGATCACCAACCCATGAATTACTCTCCCTTGATGATCATCATGCCCATGCTCTGAACATGAACTTATGATACTTGTGAAACTATACATGTCAGGATGAACTCCACTCTCTTGCATCATCCTAACAAAGAATTTCATCGCCTCGTCGTCCATTCCATTGTGAGTGTAAGCTCCAAGCATCGCATTCCATGAGATCAAATCCCTAATGTCCCCAATTCCATCAAAGATCCTTCTAGAGTCTTTCAGGGACCCACATTGTGAATATGCAGTGATTGCTGCATTCAACACTGTCAGCCCTAACGCAGATCCATACTTCACAATCTTCCCATGCAACTGGTGCATCAAGAAACAGCTTGGGCCCTCAACTGCTGTGAGCAGCGACGCAAATGTTGCTTCATCTGGAGCCAAACCTTCTCTTTCCATCTCAAGAAACAGCTCCAGTGCAGATGCCATGTCCCCAGATTCAGTATACCCGGCAATGAGTGCATTCCAAGAAACAGTGTTCCGCTCTGGCATTCCATCAAACACCTGTCGGGCATCCCTCACGCGGCCACATTTAGCATACACATCAAGTAATGCACTTGCCGCGAACACATTGTTGGCAAGGCCGGATTTCAAAGCGAGCGACTGCAGTTGGGCGCCGATGGCAGGACGCCGCGCTACGGCGGCGGAGCGGAGGGCCGAGCCGAGGGCGAACGTGTTGGAAGCGAGCCCCTGCGCGTGCATGGCCCGGAGGAGGCGCCATGCTTCCGGGTGCGCGCCGGACGCGGCTTGCGCGGCGAGGAGCGCGTTCCAGGAGACCTCGTCGCGGCGGGGCACCTCGTCGAACACCCGGCGCGCGGCGGCGAGGCCATCGGGGGAGGAGCGGGAGTAGGCGGTGAGGAGCTGGTTCCAGGGCGTGGGGGCGGCGACGCCGGACTTGAGGAGGGAGGCGTGGGACCTCGCGGCGGCGACGGCGAGGTGGTGGTGGCGCATGCGCAGCGGCGGCGGCGTCTATGGCCGCGGGGCATTCGCGGAGGTCCGGTATCTATGGACTTGCCGATTCTTTGGGTCGCGGAAGTAGCGGCCGGAGCGGCACCAACCTCACCTCCGTTCGCCGGAAATCCCCAGCCCCAGCTAGTCAGCTACCTCCCTCCGCTCTCCATGGCGGCTGGGTTGAATCGTCGAAGAGCAACGGAGGAGGAAGGAGGAGGAGGAGCCATGGCGGCTGGGAAGAAGAAGAAGAAGATGGCCGACACCATGCTGGGCCGCGTTGGGCTAACCTCTTGGCTATCTTGTTAAATTGGAGATATTTAACCATTTGCCACATTTAGATGTGGCAATTAACTTTTTGTCACTGTACCCATATGTCATAGACACATGTGGACCCATATGTTATTGAGATAGAGGTGGGAAATAGTTATTTGCCAAATCTAAAAGTAGCAAATAGTTAAAAGCCCCGTTAAATTGGTGGCCCATTAAAGCTGAACAATAGAGCACGAAAAATGGAACGAGCAACTAGCGCATGATTACGTGAATTATTTATTATTATTAACTTCATAAATAAGGGAGTTGAAAAAACGAAACGAGGAAAATAACGTGTCATAATTTAATGAGAAAATTACTTATGTAATTGTGAGTTCTTATTCAATCCATTATAAGCTCAGAACTATACTCTATATCTCATCCTCCTCTGCACGCCTCTAGGTTTTCATTTTGAATTTTCATTTTGATTCCCTCTATATCCATTTCGCTAGTTGACATGGCCGTGAATTAACAGTTAACTTATTTTTTAAAATGACTGTATTGTCACTGAATGGTATAGTCATACTCTTCAATTCCCTGTATTTCACTAGTTGTCCTATTTGATTATATAGTATTTTTTAGCATTGAGATTTATGTTTCTAAGTAGGTAGCACATAAGATCTATAAGTTGTATAAGTACGAGCGACAAACAGTATAGCTAGCCATTTCAGAAAAATCTAATAGCCAACTCATAATCAACTAAACAGTATAGATATAGAGGGAATTGAAATGAAAAAAAAAGGAAGAAATGAGGCAAAATTCATAGGTATAGATAGGATTGTGAAACACTTGGGGACATATTTTCTCAATTCTAAATGGGGAAAATTATGTTTAGAGCACAAGTAGGGTCCAAATCAGAAAATACCATAAAAGTATCCCATTATTGCCTCATACCACAGTCCGCACTACAATATTCAGTTTATACCATGACCATGGTCGAAAATACCCTCGCGTCAAGTGCAGTTGCCCAAACCTAAATGTAGTGGAGTTAAAAAAAAGCAGGGGAAGGGGGGAGGGAGTAAAAATTCATACGAAATAATATCCTGGATTCTCCTTACGAAAAAAAATCGTGAATATATCTTTTTTTAATAATTTACATTTATATACACGAACGAGAAGAATTTGCTTAAATATACCAATCCCCTAGGATGAAAACGTGGGACTAATGTTTGCCGTAGCGCAAAAACGCGGGACCGATAATCTCGCGGGATGGTCGCACATCACCGGCCATGGCATGCGTTGGGTGGGCATATATAATACTGTTTAGCGCTGTTAATACACTGTTTGGACATTATTTACCACTGTTTATTACTGTTCACAGAGCCAGTACCGCGCAGCGGGACAGGTTGGTACCGTGTTTTTTGAGCCTCCGGACTGTCTCGGTACTATGTAGTACCGCTAGCCACCACAGTGCCGCATTTTTGAGATTCGGGACCGTTGCGGTGTTGCACGACCATCCTGCAATACAGTCGGTCACGCGTTTTTGCGCTGTGGCCATCCTGCAATACAGTTGGTCACGCGTTTTTGTGCTGTGGCAAACATTCGGTCCCTCATTTTCACCCTGTGGTACGGGTATATTTATGCAATTTTCCGTGCCGGTATATAAACTTAAATTATTAAAAGAATAAGTATATTCGCAAATTTCTTTCTTCTCCTTACAACACGATTTAATAGCCCTCTCGTAGTTCACATCAATTTGATATTCTTTCTCAATTACTGTTGTCCGCCTTTTTTCACCTCTTTCCGGATGTGTTATATGACTTTTTGATGGACATGGTCCCAACCACTTTTTTTTTTCAGCGGCATATATGTCGCACTAAGCTCATCTTTCTCATCTTGAATCTACCGAAGAACATAATTGTTCACCTTGTAGCAACCTTGATGTCCAAGAGCGAAGACTCATGATTACTATCGCCCAACGAAATGCTAGGCGTGTGCCTGAGGAGGGATGCCACAATCATATCATAGGGCCTGGTCGACATGAATGACAATCACGGCTCATCGTATATTAGTATATATTCATATGAACGTGTGTCGGCTTTATGGCCACGAGAATAGGCAAGCAACAATAATAGGAGGAGGAGCAACCAATCTCAGTCCAAGGTGAATTAAGAGGAGCCGAGGAGTATTTGCAATAATTGTTTTATAGGGAGGAATCTTAAATACATGGCGATATTTTGGGTGGTTTTTTGCAAATATTTTTTTATAAAAAAAATGGATCGAAAAGCGTCACGAGGAGCACAATTGAAAACCCAAGCTATTCACTCGATAATCAAAGATCCCTATCCTCCTTTCCCAAGAGCACTGATAGCTTCACACTAGCTCGTAGAGATGAGAAAGTCAGAGCACGGGTAGCCTCACAATGACTTGCATTAGATGAGAAGGTGAATTATAATAGTGATATCTAGGTAGGGTACCATCGATAATTTTAGATTCGTGTATAAAAGTCGACTCTAACAGAAGACACATCTGTTACTGTGGATGGAGGTGGAATAATAAAGTATAAACCAAAGAAAGTTGTGTAAGCTGCGGTATAAGACGACCCTGAGATTCCGAACCATGATTTTGTTTCCTGCCTGTGCTACACTGAACTTTTCCTTTAATTTGATGGCTCAATCGAAACCACCGAAGAGCAAGCAAGTATAAGCTTAGACTAAACCGAGAGTTAAATAATAAGTAAATAAATTAGGAGGCAATGCAGTAAATTACTTAAGTATATATCAACCACCTAAACAGCTAAATCCTATCAGTGCTAAATAAGTACTAGTAACTAACACACGACGATAGTTAATGACAAATGCCTAAATTATATCAATCTTTGATACCCTAGTTGTCAAAAGCCCAAGCGTTCTCCTTACGGACCTCCGCCTCCTCCTCTGGCGTGAAGTCATTGGTGATGTTGAACACCTCCCTGACCTCCTCCACCGACATGTCTTTGATCAAGTCCGCCGCGTGCTGGCAGGTCAGATCTAGCAGGTCCTGCGCGTTCAAGAAGTTTGCAGCCAAAATCAACTCGAACACCATCGTCCTGTCGACGTCGACGAACTCGGCGTCGAAGCTCTTGAGCTCCTCCTCCCTCTTCGCTTTATCAGCGGCGACGGCTTCTGTGGCCGGCTTGGGGGTGACGGCGGCGTGTTTCTTGAAGTACTCGACCACCTTGGCGAGAACGACGGCGGTGACGTTGGGGAGGGGAACCCCATTGTCGGTGCAGTCATCCTCGATCATGTGGGATAACGTCTTTGACTGACTCGCCGCCGCCTCCGACAGCTCAAAACGCTCGCCGTCCGAGCTGATCAGGAGGATCATCTTTTCGCCGTTGTCCGCTGTCGCCGCCATGGATTGAAACGGGTGGCTTGCTTTTACTCGAACTTAGTAGATGCAGCCTTTTGATCGATCTTAATCCGCGCTAATTAACCGAACAGAGAGGTCGTTTTCTTGTTTCTCCTCGGTACGGCTTGGAGAACTGTTTGGTGGGTCCTGTATTTATAGCATGAATCATCAACTCTGATCCGAGACGGAGTCGATCGATTTGCTGTCTGCATAGCGCTGTTTAATTAATCTGTTAAAATCGAGTCAGAGACGAATCATCTAAAGTTAATCCGATTCGGAATCCAAGTAGTATTAGTAAGGATACGTTTCCTTCATCTGCGCATGGTAAGCTAGCTATCGATATCAGCACATCCCGGGAATCATGCGAGCTCGCCTTCTTGGCAAAGTTATCAGTATCATGATATCGTATGGCCTGTCTGAGAGCTTAAGAAATAATTAATTGGTAGCCAGCTTCTGAGAATCTGAAAAAATTAGGTTTCCTAGCTTCTGACTAGACTATTTTGTGGATTTTACAACTACATTTTCTCAGAATCTGGATCAAAAGTTGAACTGTTTAGAGGAGCTTCTGATTATAGAAAAACTGTAGCAGCTATATAAGCTTCCCCAAACATGTCCCTAGTATCTTCCTGTACTAAGATTCTACCAATCCCACCTAGGCAACTGTAGCAGCTATATAAGCTTCCCCAAACAGGTCCCTAGTATATTCCTGTACTAAGATTCTACCAATCCCACCTAGGCTGTGTTACTGTTTGGAGGTGAGAGTTGGAAACCCATCTCCCATGCACGGAAAACGGAGCAGTCTATTAGCGCGTGATTAATTAAATATTAGCTATTATTTTTCAAAACTGGATCAATATGATTTTTCTAAGCAACTTTCGTATAGAAACTTTTTGCAAAAAACGTACCGTTTAGCAGTTTGAAAAGCGTGCGCGCGAAAAACCAGAGGGGAGAGTTGGGAAAAGAGAGTACCGAACACAGCCCTAGTATCCTACTTTTAAAGCATCTCAATCATACTATTCATTTTCACACGATCTAACGAAATCTTAGGTACTACTACCTCCGTCCCAAAATATAGTTATTTTTAGCACAGTACCTTATTCTAAAATGAAGCTATTTCTCCACCTACCTTTTTCTCTTAACCAATTACAATACTACGATTCTACCAATCCCACTTAGTATCCTAATTTTCATATATAATATCTCAATACTATTCATTTTCACACAATGCAACGAAATCTTAGGTATTACTGCCTCCGTCTCAAAATGTAGCTATTTCTAGCTCAATACATTGTCCCAAAATGAAGCTATTTCTCCCCCCACTTCCTCCTCTCAACCAATCACAACCATTCTCCTTCACCTACTTTTTCTTTTCAACCAATCACACACTTTCTCCAAACATTCTCACATATCTTTTAATACTCGTGTCAACTTTAAAAATGTCTACATTTTGGGACGGCGGAAGTATCTCAATATTACGATCCTACCAAATATTATTTAAAATCAGGTAGATTTAAAATATTGTGAATAAAAATGCTCAAGTTTACATAAAAAACCAATTAAATTTATCTAAATCAATATTATATGCTTTAATTTATACACCATATTATATATATATATATATATAAGTATTTTCTAACATCTGATAGTATCCCGATACTATGGTAGTATTATGATACTACATATAAAAAAAGATCCTACCTAGTATCTCGATACTGATTATTTGGTCGGTGGCTCGGTGGTTTCAGCCCATCGTCGCATGCTCACTAGGAGGTTTGACGGTCTCACACCCCCCTCCCCCCCCCGAATCTATCTATTATCTATCCTTTTTTCCTATATAGTTGGTACCCACTATAGCATTAACTCCTATAAAGTTTGCTCCAGGTTAATCCACGTCCTCGGCGCATGAAAAGCCATCCGATCAAATCCACATCCAGCATCAACTGTTGTTTGCTCTCTTCTCTCATCAAGCTAACTCTCGCTCCCCCACCCATAAGACGCCCATCAAGGCCTGTGTTTTTTAGCCTTTAATCTTCCCCTCCCATCCATTGACCTTCCAGAATATAGCAATTTTCTCTCCGGCAGCGAAACTGTCGTCGTCAAAAGGCATCCGAGTGGTCATATTTATAATTCATTTATTCTCCTTTCACCTAATGTATATTTTCATAATTCACCCCACTAATCCTTGCGATCCTCATATATATCATCGTTGATCTAGCTGCTGATAATCTGACATCCTCTACTTCCAACTACCCACACACTAGCTACCTCCCTCCGCTCTCCATGGTGGCTAGCGCGAGTGGGTTGGGTTGAATCGTCCAAGAGCAACGGAGGAGCAAGGAGGAGGAGGAGCCATGGCGGCTGGGAAGAAGAAGATGGCCGACACCATGCTAGGCCGCGTTGGGCTCACCTCCTGGCCCACAGAGTAGCACGGTCGCTATGTCCCGGGGGCGACGTGGGCAGCGAACAAGCCGCGCCGCCTCCGCCCTTCTCCTCCACACCCCAGCCTAGTCGCCGCCCAAGCCGCCGCCGATGAAGCCAGGCGGCTGCAAGGACGGCGGCGGCGGGGCTCCCTCTCCCTCGCTCGTGGTCAAACCGGATGGGACGCCGGCAAGACAGGAGCTCAGGCTTGGTGCTGGCGACGAGGAGAAGCGCCCGGCGGCGGCCAGATCCGGCGCCGTGGAGGCCGGATCCGGTCCTCCATGGCGGGATCTGCTCGGCGGCGGGGTTGGAAGGTGGGTCGGGGGCGGCGGCAGGGTTTGGCGACGGGTCAGGGGCGGTGGCGACCTGGCGTAGCTGGCGACGGGTCGCTGCCGGCGCTGGCTCCCCTAGCTGCGCACGAACGCTGGCGGGGTGGCGACTGGCGGCAGGGAGGGCAACGGCAACAGCGGCGGGGAGGGCGACGACGAAGGCAGGGGCGCGCGGCGCCTAGGCGGCGGTGGTTGTCTCCACCGTGTCGGCGCCAGTTCGGCGAGCTGCCCCTCTGTGCTTCTGATTTCTGTTTGTGCTCCGCAGCCGCTGTCCTCACTCTCCGAAGCCGCTGTACTCGCTGGTCCCTCAACACCCTCCTCACCCTCATCTCCCTTCGTTGCCGCTTCCTTAACGGTGCGGGCGAGAAGGTCTGGGAGCAGCCGCACCTGGCTCCGGTGACCTGCTCGGCAGGCTAGCCGGCTACCTTGGCAGATGCAAGCCTGCAGTTTGGATTTGGGGAGAGAGGGTGAAAGCCGTGCACACCCCCGGTTGTGTGATCGACGGCGACGCCTTTTGGTGCCATATACCTCCCTGGAGGCATTGATTCTAGTCTCCCCAACCAAACCTACAACCATCTGCTCGGTGCTCTATTCGTCGATGGAGGCATCCGTGGATGTCACTTTCCTTGCTGAAGGCATCGACGCAAGCGTGCCCCCTCCTGCTTCGCCCTTTTGCTCTCCAAGCTTCTAATCTTGTGCCCATTCCCATTATCTCCCATTGATGTCCTTCTTCCTTGTGGAATTCCCCTCCTCAGCCATCCCCCTTTATGTCCAACTCCCTGTTCGTCTGCATCCATTCCTTGGGATGTCCTCTATCACATTGCCTCGCGGCCTTCCCTCTTTTGAGGCTTCCTTCCCTCAATGGGCGTTGGATGGCGTGAAGCCAACAAGCAATTCTTTTTAGCCTGATCGAAGATGACTCCATGTGGGCGGCTCTGGGCTGCAACCTTCAGTGCCTCTCCCTCCTCTGGGACTTCCTTCCCCCAAAGGGCGTTGGCGGGCACTGTTCTAGCTACAACAAGAAAAATGTTGGATTCTTGAAGGCTTCAAGCTGGTGGTCTAGTACTTCCACAGCCTTTTGGTCACCACTTTCCCCTGTCGGCATGCTCGTGGCACTCTGCCCTTTGGCTCGGCGTTCTGGATTCCAAGGCTGCTTGAGGATTTGTTTGTTGTTGATCTAGGAAGTTAGCTTTTAGGCGGTTATGGTTTGTGGCTGGGTGATTTTGCAGGAAAACCGTCTTTGGTTTCCTCGGAGGGCCACCTTTTCTCTCTGTTGTTTTTCTCTTCTTTGTTTTCCCTGTGTATCCTCGGCTACTATCCTCCAAGGCACCTGCGCTTGAGTAGGCCGAGCTGTCCTGTGTAATTTCGTTTGACTGCCCCCCCCCCCCCCCCCCGTGATTCAGTCAAAAAAAACCTCCTAGCCCATTAAAGCTGAACAATGGAGCACGGAACACGAAGCGAACAATTAGTGCAGGATTTTATTTTAATTATTTATTATTATTAACTTCAAAATTGGGTTTATTTTACCCAAAGGGTTTATTTAAATTTTTGAATAAACTTTTGTATGAAAGGTTTTTATATAAAAAAATAGTTTAAAAAAGCGTTCTCATGATAAATAAGGGAGTTGCAAAAGCGAAACGAGGAAAAGAACGTGTCATAATTTAATGAGAAAATTCCTTATATAATTGTGAGTTCTTATTCAATCCATTATAAGCTCATAACTATATCTCATCCTCTGCAAGCCTCTAGGTTTTTATTTTGATTACCTCTATAACCATTTCGCTAGGTTTTCATTTTGATTACCTCTATATCCATTTCGCTAGTTGACATGACCGTGAATTAACAGTTAACTTTTTTTCAAATGACTGTATTGCCACTGAATGATATAGTCATACTCTTCAATTCCCTGTATTTCACTAGTTGTCCTATTTGATTTTATAATATTTTTTAGCATTGAGATTTATTTTTCTAAGTAGGTAGCACATAAGATCTATAAGTTGTACAAGTATGAGCGACAAACAGTATAGCTAGCCATTTCAGAAAAATCTAATAGCCAACTCATAATCAACTAAACAGTATAGATATAGAGGGAATTGAAATGAAAAAAAAAAGAAATGGGGCGCAATTCACAGGTATAGATAGGATTGTGAAAAACTTGGGGACATATTTTCTCAATTCTAAATGGGGAAAATTATGTTTAGAGCACAAGTAGAGTCGAAATCAGAAAATACCATAAAAGTATCCCATTATTGCCTCATATCACAGTCCGCACTACAATATTCAGTTTATACCATGACCATGGTCGAAAATACCCTCGCGTCAAGTGCAGTTGCCCAAACCTAAATGTAGTGGAGTAAAAAAAAGCAGGGGAAGAGGGGAGAGGGAGTAAAAATCCATACGAAGTAACATCCTGGATTCTCCTTACGAAAAAAATTTTATGAATATACTTTTTTTAAGTAATTTATATTTATATACACACATGGGAAGAATTTGCATAAATATACCCATTCCTAGAATGAAAACGCAGGACTGAATGTTTGCCGTAGCGCAAAAACGAGGGACCGACGATCTCGCAGGATGGTCACGCGTCACCGGCCATGGCATGCGTAGGGTGGGCATATATAATACTGTTTAGCACTGTTAATACACTATTTGGACACTATTTACCATTGTTCACAGAGCCAGTACCGCGGAGCGGGACCGTGTTGGTACCGTGTTTTTTGAGCCGCCGGACTCTCGGTACTGTGCAGTATCGTCCACCACAGTGCCGCGTTTTTGAGACACGGGACCATTGTGGTGCCGTGCGACCATCCCGCAGTACAGTCAGTCACACGTTTTTGCGCTACGGCAAACATTTGGTCCCTTATTTTCACCCTGTGGTACGGGCATATTTACACAAATTTTTCTATGCTGGTATATAAACTTAAATTATTAGAATAATAAGTATATTCGCAAATTTCTTTCTTCTCCTTACAACACGATTTAATAGCCCTCTCGTAGTCCACATCGATTTGATATTCCTTCTCAACTAGTGTTGTCCGCCTTTTTTTACCTCTTTCCGCATGTGTTGACTTAGCGTACTTGATGGACATGGTCCCAACCACATTTTTTTTCTCAGCAGCATATATGTCACACTAAGCTCATCTTTCTCATCTTGAATATACCAAGAACATAACTGTTCACCTTTTAGCAACCTTGATGTCCAAGAGCGAAGACTCATGATTACTATCGCCCAATGATATGCTAGGCGTGTGTCTGAGGAGGGATGCCACAGATATGTCATATAGCCTGGTTGACATGAATGACGATCACGGCTGGTTGTATATTAGTATATATTCATATGAACGTGTGTCGGCTTTATGGCTACGAGAATAGGCAAGCAACAATAATAGGAAACAATAATAGGAGGAGGAGTGACCGATCTCAGACCAAGGTGAATTAAGAGGAGTATTGCAATAAATTGTTTTATAGGGAGGAATCTAAAACACATGGTGATATTTAGGGTGGTATTTGCATTTTTTTTTTGAAAAAATGGATCCAAAAAGTGTCACGAGGAGCACAATTAAGAAAATCCAAGCAATTCACTCGCCCATCAAAGGTCCCTATATATTCTCCTTTCCCTGGACCACCGATAGCATATCGCAGAGATGAGAAAGTCGGAGCACGGGTAACCTCACAATGGCTTGCATTAGATGAGAAGGTGAATTTTAATAGTGGTATCTAGGTAGGGTACCATCGTCAATTTTAGATTCGTGTATAAAAGTCGACTCTATAACAGAAGACACAACGGTTACTGTGCATGAAGGTGGAATAAAGTATAAACCGAAGAAAGTTGTGTAAGCTGCTGTATAAGACGACACCAAGAACCATGATTTTGGTTCCTGCCTGTGCTACACTGAACTTTTCATTTAATTTGAAATGGCTCAATCGAAACCACCGAAGAGCAAGCAAGTGCATAGCTTAGACTAAACGGAGAGTTAAATTATAAGCAATAAATAAATAAATTACGAGGCAATGCAATAGTATCAACCACATAAACAGCTAAATCCTATCAGTGCTAAATAAGTACTAGTAACTAACACACGACAATAGTTAATGACAAATGCCTAAATTATATCAATCTTTGATACCCTAGTTGTCAAAAGCCCAAGCGTTCTCTTTACGGACCTCCGCCTCCTCCTCTGGCGTGAAGTCGTTGGTGATGTTGAACACCTCCCTGACCTCCTCCACCGACATGTCTTTGATCAAGTCCGCCGCGTGCTGGCAGGTCAGATCTAGCAGGTCCTGCGCGTTCAAGAAGTTTGCGGCCAAAATCAACTCGAACAACATCGTCCTGTCGACGTCGACGAACTCGGCGTCAAAGCTCTTGAGCTCCTCCTCCCTCTTCGCTTTATCAGCAACGACGGCTTCCGTGGCTGGCTTGGGGGTGACGGCGGCGTGTTTCTTGAAGTACTCGACCACCTTGACGAGGACGACGGCGGTGACGTTGGGGAGGGGAACCCCATTATCGGTGCAGTCATCCTCGATCATGTGGGATAATGTCTTTGACTGACTCGCTGCCGCCTCCGACAGCTCAAAACGCTCACCGTCCGAGCTGATCAGGAGGATCATCTTTTCGCCGTTGTCCGCTGTCGCCGCCATGGATTAAAACGGGTGGCTTGCTTACTCGAAGTTAGTAGATGCAAACTTTTGATCGATCTAATCCGCGCTAATTAACCGAACAGAGAGGTCGTTTACTTGTTTCTCCCCTCGATACAGCTTGGAGAACTGTTTGGTGGGTCCTGTATTTATAGCATGAATCATCAACTCTGATCCGAGACGGAGTCGATCGATTTGCTGTCTGCATAGCGCTGTTTAATTAATCTGTTAAAATCGAGTCAGAGACGGATCATCTACAGTTAATCCGATTCGGAAACCAAGGAGTACTAGTTAGGATACGTTTCCTTCATCTGCATGGTTAGCTAGCTATCGATATCGGCACATCCAGGCAATCATGCTAGCTCGCCTTTTTGGCAATGTTATCAGTAGCATGATATCCTAGGGTCTGTTTGAAAAGCTTAGCCAGATTTTAAGAACCTATAGAAAAACTAGATTTCCTACCTAGCTTATAGTTTCTAGTTCATTTTTCGGAAGTATCTCAATACTATAATCCTAATAAATATTATTTAAAATCAGGTGGATTTAAAATATTATGAAAAAATATCCTCAAGTTTACATTAAAAACCTATTAAATTTATCAAAATCAATATTATATGCTTTAATTTATACACCATATTATATATTTATATAAAAAAATATATTTTCTAACATCTAATAGTATCCCAATCCTACGGTAATATACTGATATTATAATACATATAAAAAACGATCCTACGTAGTATCGCGTTACTGATTATTTGGTCGGTGCCTCGGTGGTTTTAGCCCGTTGTCGCATGCTCACTAGGAGGCTTAATGGTCTCACACTCCTGGAATCTATCTATTATCTATAGCATTAACTCCTATAAAGCTTGCTCCAGGTTAATCCACGTCATCGGCGCATGGAAAGCTGTCCGATCAAATCCATGTTTCCAGCATCAACGGTTGTTTGCTCTCTTCTTACGTCAAGCTAACTCTCGCTCCCCCACCCACCAGACCCATGCACATCAAGGCCAGTGTCTTTTGGCCTTTAATCTTCCCCTCCCGTCCATTGACCTTCCAGAATATGGCAATTTTCTCTCTGGCAGCGAAACTGTCGTCATCAAAAGACAGCCGAGTGGTCATATTTAATTCATTCATTCTCCTTTCAGTCAACTTATATTTTCATAATTCACCCCACTAGTCCTTGCGATCCTCATATCATCGTTGATCTCGCTGCTGCTAATCTAACATCCTCTACTTCCAACTACCCACACCACATGGCCGGTTCGGTGAGAGCTGAGCACATCGATCGGTAGCAGAGCCTTCAGCACTGCTCGATGCATCGATCGCCCTCATTTGATCTCATGCCATCTGCCAAGGTAGCAACCATGCATGCCTCATAGAACACGTACCTTCTAAAACTTCTGCAATACTCCTGTAGCTTACCTTCTCTATTGGTACTTTTGAATTCATTCTGCTTACATAATTCGTTTTGTAGCTTTATAATTGATCCTTCCGTACAACCTTGACCACACATATTACAGTCCTACTCCCTCCGCCCTAAAAAAAGACAAACCTGGTTTCCATGCCCAACGTTTGACCGTCTGTCTTATTTGAAAAAATTATGAAAAAATTTAAAAAGACAAATCACGCATAAAATATTAATCATGTTTTATCATCTAACAACAATAAAAATACGAATTATAAAAAAATTTCATATAAGACGGACAGTCAAAGTTGGACACGGAAACCCAGGGTTTGTCCTTTTTTGGGACAGAGGGAGTATGTATTATCTGATTGATTTTATAATATGACAGTTCTTTCAGGAATTCAGGCACCAAGCAATATTTGCTCCATTGCTTTGCAAAGTGATCTTTTACATATCATCTTTTTTGCCATTTATTTTCTACTATATGGACCTATCACAGCTTACTTATGTGCTGCAAAACTGCACTTCCTCCAGTGATTGTGGTGGTAAGTGGCAATCGATTATGCTCCTCAAATTATTGTTTGCCCAAACTATTGTGAGTACGTTTCCCTGATGATCCATATTTCCTACTGGCTACAAGTTAATTGATCCTTACGCAAAAACTTTTACTTTGCAACCTTCAGTCTCTAACTTTAGAGTTCTACCACTACTGGAAAAACCATCTTTACTCGGTCGCTAAAAAACTACAATAGTCCCGGTTCGAATAGGAACCGGGACTAAACGGTCACATCTTACTACGTACTATATGGCCGAGGGGCTGGTGGTGTTGTGGTCAGCGGCCCAACAGCACTCTGGCGTCAGCGGCTACTCCGCCGCTCACGCCGGTTGTGTTAGAGTTTGTGTCGAATATGTGTACGTAGTCGGTTACAGTTTAGAACTTGGAGTTGTAATAGGTATCAGAACTAGAGTATGAGTCGGTATCTATCCTAGGATAGCATGAGGTCAATGCCAGGCCCGTTGGTGCTTATATGTCCAACCTCAGCGCCAATGCGCTTGACGCTGAGCCGACGACCTAGTTTTTAGTTTTGGTTAAAGTATTTAGCAGGGGTTATTTTTAAATAAGTTTTTCAAAAAGGTCAATTTGTTAAAAAAGGGTCATCATAACGCAAGGACAAATGCTGGTCCATTATTGCGTCTGTTGTCACTGTCTCGTTGATTGAATCCTGCTGCTGATTGAATCATAGTACTATATATGTGTTTCGTCAGTTACTGATCGGTTTTTAATTGGGTGCCGGTGCTTTGCATCGGGGAAAGGAATATGTATGTGAAGCCTATAATCATTGAGAGCACGTACCCTCCGTCTAAAAAAAAATATACGTGTCCAAGTTTCCTGTTAGGATTGGAAAAAAAAACCAATATACATATCCAGATTTATTACTAGGATTAGATTTTTTTTAGGACGGAGTAGTAATCTTTTGTTTTACCTTACTCAACAACTTTAGGCCTTTCAAACTACTGCATGCAATGACAAGATTGAATGCCTACTCTCAAGGAAAAAAAAGCAACTACAAACATTAGCTCAAAAAGCACAGATGCAAAAAATTCGCCTAAGGCCTTGTTTAATCCCAAAAAATCTGTGTCAAAAAAGTCACATCAAATATTTAGATATATGCATGGGGCATTAAACGTGAGAAAAAAAACCAATTGCACAGTTTACATGTAAATTGTGAAACTAATTTTTTAGCCTAATTATATCATGATTTGACAATGTGATGCTACAGTAAATATTTGCTAATGACGGATTAATTAGGCTTAATAAATTCGTCTCGCAGTTTACAGGCGGAATATATAATTTGTTTTGTTATTGGTTTATGTTTAATACTTTAAATGTGCGTCCGTATACTTTAAAAACTTTACACCCAACGAACCAAATACACCCTAACTTTCTAGTTCAGCCAAATATCTCGTGGCCCTAGCTATGACTACGGGTAAATTATATAATTCTACCTAATTTATGTTATACTATTTTAAATTTCAATTGATAATAATTAAATAATTAATATGGTTAGGAGCTTCGATAATTCTTGTTCCGAGTTTGTCACTCGTAGTGTGATTAATAGTAATGATCAGAGGATCATAGCCTCTTTTTATTTCTTGTAAGGAAACAAAAAGTTAAAAGCACAACAAATAAATACGAGTATAATCTAGCTGCAGTGCACGGGAGCTCCCGGCCGGATAGATATCCATGGCGGAATCAAACGATCCACGTAGGAGTACAATAATCTCTCTTACTCGGTGGCTACCGCGTCGTCGTCTGCCGTCGCCGGCACGGACGCGTGCACGTCGAGCTCCAGCGCCATGTGGATCTCCGACCACACCTTGGCCGTCCTCCACAGCACGTACCCGGCGGCGCCCCGGAGCGCGCCGGTGCCGCCGACCACCGCGAGCTCCCTCGTCTCGTCGCGCACCCTGTCGCGCCCGGCGATGACGAGGTTGCTCCCGTTGTAGGGGCCCCCGGCCGAGGTGAGCGCCACGGTGATGGCAACCACCAGCACCGCCTCGCGCTGGGAGCTGAGCATGTACGTGCCCTGCGCGCGGCCGACGGCGGCGGAGGCGATGCTCGGGCCCTCCGTGACGAGGTCGTCCACGGCCACCGTGTCGCCGAACGCCCGCCCCGGCATGGACGCGTGGGGCGGCCCCGCGCCCCAGATGAGGCGGATCGCCGTCTGCCCCGGCCCGTCGATCACGTCGTGCATGTACAGCCGCATGCGCACCGGCCGGCGGCGCGGGCCGGGCGCCGCCGCCACGGCGCTCGCGGCGAGCGAGAGGGCGGCAGCGGCGGCGAGCAGCAGGGGAATCTTGTTTGCTGCGGCCATGGCTAGTGTAGGTTGAGGGTGTGATCTCACTCGCATCTGTGCAGTTCCGGCCGGCGGCCTACCACACTTATATAGGCCGTGTTTAGATTAAAAAATATTTTCTTTTCAAGAACATCATATTGATTGTTTGGGCACATGCATGGAGCATTAAATGTGAACGAAAAAACAATTGCATAATTTGTATGTAAATTGTGAGACGAATCTTTTGAGTCTAATTACGTCATGATTTGACAGTATGATGCAGTAAACATTTTCTAATGACGGATTAATTAGGCTTAATAAATTCGTCTCGCAGTTTACAGCCGGAATCTGTAATTTGTAATTTGTTTTTGTTATTAGACTATATTTAATATTTCAAATGTATGTCCGTATACTTGAAAAAAATCTTGGCCAAAGAACTAAACACAGCCATAGTCGGCCAGGAGCATGTACGTAAAAGAAGAGAAGGCGAATGCAGCAACCGGATTTCGATTGCATGAGTTACCAACTCACTCTTCTTATTTTTCACGCGCACGTTTTTTAAACTATTAAACGGTGTATTTTTTTAAAAAAATTTGTATAGAAAGTTGCTTAAGAAATTTATATTGATTCATTTTAAAGAAAGAATTAGCTAATATTTAAGTAATCATGCTCTAATGGATTTTTGGTGTGAGAGGGATTTGCTCCCAGCAAGAAGTAACGAACATGGCCTGGAAAAGGGCGGGTGGTAGGCTTATTGCAACCTACTGTTCATGTACCTTGTTGTATTCCGAGTGTTCCATCTTTTTTTACAAATGTTGAACATGATGGTTTCTTCGATGTTGTTAAACTGATCTTGATGTTGCAATCGACATTTTTTACTGACACATTTGCTTGAAATATTTTTTTCCCAAGTGACATAATATTTTTCACATAATAGTGCAGACATGCAGGAAGAAGACATGCAGGAAGAGGATGGCAGCGAGACCATGAACTCGTAGCGGCTATGTGCTATGTTGTTTGGGCAATAGTTTCCATAATTAGAGCCACTACTGAAAAACGATTTTTCTCTACAAAGACCTCTTTACATTGCAGACGAACCGTAATTGGTCGCGTCTGCAAAAATTGTCCTCCATTTTCGTGTGCGGCTCCTTAAGAGGATCGCATTGAAAAATAGATTTTCACTTACGGGCCTCTTATATGGACCACACGCAAAAATAAGCATATTTCGCAGGCGAGCCTCTTAAGTGGACTGCATACAAAAATAACACTCACCTTTACAGATTTTTTTATCCCATCCTCTCTTCCTTTCCCTTTTATTTCCACTCCCCTCTCTCTTCCTCTCCTCTCCTCTAAGCGCACGGAGCGCAGGGCACGGTAGGCAGCCGGCTCTGCACCGTCCCGTGTGCCTCCGCCGACGAGGAAGCGGCGGCCCGGAGTGGCCTCGCGACGGTCCTATCCGCCGTCTCTGGCACTGCGCGCGCATGACAGCCGGATCTGCGTCGCCCTCCGCACGCACAGCGACAGCGGCGGATCTGGCAGTGGTGAGGCACGGTGGCTATCGCCCGCGCGGATCCGATGACGGCTGCCCTGCCCCCACGTAGCGGTGGCAGATCGGACGGTGGGAAGGCACGGGGGTGGCAGATGCGGCGGTGGGGAGGCATGGGGGCGCTGGATCCGGCTCCAGCGACGGGAGCGGACGGACCCGACGATAGCGACGACAGCGAGCACGAGAAGGGCGGCGGCTGCGGTGGCTTATAGGGTTAGGGTTTGTGGATTTTTTTGGATTTTATTTTCTTTTGGTTTTTTATTTTTGCGTGCGGGTATGCCACTCACACGCATAAATGGCGATTTTCACATACCCTTCGGCGCGTGCGGCCTAGCCCTACCGCACGCGAAAACCCCTTTCGGGCCACACGGAAAAAATCTCTTTTGTAGCAGTGAACCTCGGGGATTAGGCTTCAACTGAACGTTATTATCAAATATCGGATCTTCCTATGTCATCATCTAGCATGTCTTGGATGAACAAATGTTTTAAATGATTGGGAAGGTTAGTTATTTATCTGCTATATCTACCAACTTTTATAACAAGTGATATCAGAGCCTAGATTTAGAATTAACCCAGAAGAATTTCTATGGGTCACATGGTGGGGAAATTCAGTAAACAAGTCTTCAAGTCACATAGGTTGATGTGGTGGGGGAGATTGCTGGCTCCGATGTGTGACGGGGGATATTATTAAGTTTAGTCCCAATCGATAATTGATGATAGGGGATCACGGCTTAAAAGGTAATGGCGGATTAATTAGACTCAAAAAATTCGTTTCACGGTTTTCAGGCGAGTTATGAAATTAGTTTTTTCATTCGTGTCCAAAACCCTCTTTCAACATCCAGTCAAACATCCGATGTGACATCTAAAAATTTTTATTTCGTGAACTAAACTGGCCCTAAGGAAAATGCTCATGGTCCTCACCCATGTTTCAGGCAGCTTATGCTACCTTTGGTTCTATCTAATCTACCTGCACAACCACCGCCTCCTTCGCACGAGTCCCCTGCATATCTACTCGTGAAGCTCGGGCGGAGAGCACCTTGTGGGGTCGTTGCCTACATTTGCTGCATACATTAGAGGAGATCGCTGAGGCCAACAACCCCAGAGTAGAAGGAGCAACTAGCTAGATCTATTCACCAGAGCAAAGGAAGAAGATGGATCTAGCCACCGGTGCTGAGGAAAAAAAAATGTTGCAACCTCTGCTGGGATACTTTGCTGGTAGGCTCTAGATTTATTGATCATCTAAAATTGATATTTTTTGGGATGGAGGGAGTACATTTTAGTTGAAGATTTTTTATAGAACTATGAGTTTCTAATTTACATTAGGTTTTAAAAGTAAGATTTGATTTAGTATACATTAAAAATCTACAATTGCCGAAAGGAAAGCATGCAAGTGATTAAGTAGCACCCATTCCATGAATAAACGATTGAATGGGATTTGTTTGGGCAACGAAATCAGCTGGTCCCTTTTCTCTCTTATTAGAATTACACAGTACAACGCAGATACTCACAACACACGCACACTCACCTCTATTAATATATGCACGTAAACCCTACTCTACCCCTATGAGTATCTTCGAATACTGGGCCGGTAAATCCTTGAATTTAACTAATTCATTTCCTCTTTTACTTTTGGATTTTTGGATTTTTTTTGGCACATTTGGCATTATTCAACAAGAGGAAATAAAAACTTCGATAAATTCCTGTTTTTAAAAATTGTTGTGCTAATTATGAGAAATAATCCTATTACTTCTCATCCTAAGGTTTTCCACAATTGATGAAAAAGGTACATGATGTATCGATCAAATTATTGGACACGTGCTTGGACACATGCTGGATAACACTTTTCCCATCGAGCAAGTTACCTTATATTTATAACGCTCTGATGGTCCAGAGTCGAGACAGAGACGGTAAGCAATTTAATATAAGGTGTGAGATACAACAATTATTAGAAAAAAAATCGTGTTATAGCTATGAGTGATAGGTTGGTAAGATAAATGGATCGGAGTGGTTAACACGGGAGTTCCTCTCAGTGTTCCTATCGGTGGAGTAGGTACGTACTCCGGTACTCCGTGCAGTCAATTGTTCATTACATCAATTCACAACAGCTCCTTAATTACAACAATTACTCCCTCCAGTACGCTTTGGACGAGATTTAAAATTCTGAAAGCAACAATTTTTTAAATACTCAGTTTAAAAATTGGTTATCAGAATTTTAAAATTTTAACAAAATCTTATGTTAAATCACAAATATTTTGTATAGGAGAGAGTAATTCACAACAGCCACCGCCCATCATGGACCGATCCTGTGCAACCCGGGCACTGTCTCATTCTCGGGCAACAATAATATACTGGCACGTGCAATATAGTTAGGCGAGATCAGGGTTCACAACCCCAATAACACAAAACCACTGTTTGGTTTCTTGGCCATGTTAAAAAAATCAAAAATAATTTTAAAATTTCGATAAATATTTTCAAATTTCATCTGTTTTATTTTGGTTCGTTATCTCTGGATTGTGAATCTGAGCGAGATGCCATTGTTTAAGTGGTGTGGATCACACCAATATAATAGTACACCATGAGGCCAACACAAGAAAACAAGCAGAATAATCTATTTTATTTATTTTATCTTTTAGTTTAGGTGGCCATCTTGTTAAAGGAATCGAGGATTTGCCCCCCGTCAACTCAATTATGTTCATTTTCAACTGTAAAACTCATTGACTACGTATCTGTTTTTCTTTTTGAGGTAGACTACGTATCTGTTGTGGCAGAGGCCGGAGACATAAATCATTTTTTTATTAAAAATAAATAGGTGTCATCAGCACAAGGCTGGATCTCACGATTTTCAGGGCCACAGGGGCCCAGAGCCACCAAAACTGAAGAAGACAAGCCATGAATATTTTTTGTTCCATCGGCTTTACTTGCTCATCGACCAGCAAAAAAAAAACCCAATCGAAAATGGCATGGTGTTACTGTTGAATTTATAAGCACATAATAATTTAATTTATTCTATAAATAAATCATGACATTGTAAATGTAAACTAGCATGAACGCATCATTAGATCTACACATGTAATTTAGACAGTAAAGTATGAACAAATTGAATATACGCAACATGTTAAACACGTACCGAGGGTACCGGAAGACCAGTTACTCAGCAGGAATTACTCGCAGTTGCGGACGTTGATGACGGCGCACAGTACGCGAACGAACATGAAGACGAGCCGTTGTGTTCGAACAGGGAGCAGTCGCGCGAAGCGCTTCCCAAAAACCTTATTGCCACCTTCTCCCGGTGCAGGACGTCGAAAGCAGAGGTTTTAGAGACCTGCTCTCCCGATTGCCGGTGCACATCGACGAGCGGGATGGAGTACACTACGAGCAACGGCGCAATACAGAGGAGGAGGCAAACCCTAGATTGATTTCGTGTGTTGCGTGGAGGCGGCGGCTCAACTTATATATAGATATCAGAACGCTTAATCAGGATGCTTGCACGATCTCTTCTCCGCGTAACCGAACCGGATAACTCACGTGAAACTTATCCGGACTCCACGCCGCTTCACGCACCGGATTTTTTTGGAGTGTTTTCAAAACAATCAAATCCGAATTTCCCACAGCAAAACAAAATTGTAAAAGGAGGCTGCATCTGCACAAGGGTGAGGAACCAATTTTGGCAGACCATTCCAAAACAAACAAATCCAAATTTCACACAGCAAAACAAAACCAATTTTGGCGGACCATTCCAAAACAAACAAATCCAAATTTCCACAGCAAAACTAAACTAAGGAACCAATTTTGGCGGACCATTCCAAAACAAACAAATCCGAATTTCCTATAGCAAAACTAAACCAATTTTGGCGGACCATTCCAAAACAAAACAAATCCAAATTTCCCACAGGAAAACTAAACTGCAAAAGGAGGCTGCATGTGTGCAAGGGTGAGGAACCAATATTAGCGGACCATTCGACGTGTACATTGTGCACGCGTGCCCCCATGCCATGCCAGGCAAGTGAGTGCGCGTGTTCCCCCTCTTCTCTCCACCTCACATGCTTCAAGTGGTTGGGAGAGCATCCCCTTTATAAGGAGGTCCCCTCTCCTAGAATAAGTAAGGTAGTACTAAACTCCCCATACATACCATCCCGTGAGGTGTGTTTTTGTGATTTTACGAAGAATTAATCTTCGAATGGGCTAAGGCCCATCTATTAATTCCAACCGTTACACCTTACACAGCATATGCATTGCATTCGCAGTCTGATGTCCCCAACTGGTTTACATTGTCAACGAAATGCCAGGCTATCAGGGGTGCAGATCCCCTAGAGTTAGTGCCAAATCCAACGGGTGGATTTCAGGTGATCCAAGCCATTGATTGATTTCAACGGATCAGATTAAGCAAGTTACTTACTTCTCCCCATCTATACGAGTGCACACCACATTCCAATTATTTACTTTTTTTTCTAGAATATAACAAACGTCAGGAGCAGATCAAATAATATGAGTTTAGATACATGTTTCCTAGGAAATGGAGACTGTAATATTACCACAGGTTGATTGAAAACATGGAACATGTATGATACATTCATTATGCTATTTAACTCTAAATATATAGCTCATCGGCACGGAGATAGCAAATCAAAACACCATGATGAATCATTCTGAACCGCGTGAAGGAAAATTTGTAGTATACAATGTCTTAATGTCATATCAAGAGATTGGTAGAAAATTCTTGGCATGCTTCAGCTCTCATGCATGAGATTTGGCAAAAAGAAGGTGACGTGGCTACATCTAGCTAGCTCCTAGAAAGTAACTAATGGTTCAGATTTGTTGAAATCCACCCGGTGGATTTGGCACCAACTCCAGGCGATCTGCACCCAGCGGGTCTACATTCATTAGCATAGGATTTTAGGAAACAAGCCAGTCATTGAGCGATGTGATCTCTCACCTTCATCTCCAGGTTGAACTAATTTCTCCATACTTCTTTCTCCTGCGGATTCAAACAGGCGATGGCTGAATCATAAAGCTTTTACACTACTAGAAAAACGATTTTTCATGGCGTTAGCCTACGATTTTCACTGGCGATTCCTTAGATGGGCCACCAGCGAAAATTGATTATTTTTGCAAGCGGTTTCTTAAGAAATCTGCTTGTAAAAATAACCATATTTTTGCTGGCGTACCTCTTAAACAACCGCGAGTCGAAAGTTGATTTTCGCTGGCGGGCTAGCAGCAGCTACAACGCACGAAACCCCGCGTGTCATATTAAAAGGAGCCACCCCTCCCAAGTCCCACCAACCCCAGCACCCTCTCTCTTCTCCCCTGCGCCTTTCTTCTTATTCTTCTCCCCTGTGCTTTTCTCTCCGGCCCTTAACTGGCGCCATCGTCATCGCCTCCCTCCACGACGAAGCCCCCGTCATCGAGGTCCGCCGCTGCATCGGTCAACGGCGAGGCCCGGGCCAGCGCCGGATCTGGCGACCCCGGGCTCTCTACGGTGGGACTCAAGACCTCCAAATCTGACGTCGGTGGTGCTCGGGACCGCCAGATCTGGGGAGGGGGGTGGCGGTGGCGGTCGTTGGCTTCGGCGAGAGATCCGGCAACGGTAAGTGGCGGCGGTGTTCGACGGGGGTGGCGGCGGTAGCAGCCAACGGGATGGATGGCGCGGCGACAACAGCAGAAGAGGTCCTCGCGGCCTCACCTCCTGCCAGTGACAGCAGCGGAAGGGGTAGCGGTGTCGGCTTCCCAGATATGGCTGGAGGGGATGTGGCCAGTGGCTAGTGAGCTCGTCGTGGAGGCGGTCGCGCGACTGCTCCAGTGGTGGGCTCTCTTCTCCCTCTCCCTCCTCCACTGCCGCCAGCTGCCATCGCCACCACTGCCATGGGCTGTCGTCGCCTCTACCGCCGTGAGCTCGGGGCCGGCCGGATCCGGCCGCCACGACAACGGGGGTGGCCGGTGGCCGGATCCACCACCGCTGCTGACGGGGGCAGCGCCGCGATGACTTCAAATTTTTGTTGATTGTTGTGATGCTTGAATGCTTGGGTGAAATTTTTTTACTGTAAATTGTTGATGTAAATTTATGTGGATATTTGAATGCTTGGGTAAATTTCTGTGAAATTTTTGAATGGTCAAGCGTTGACGAAGGAGGACGGAGCGGTGTCGCTCTGTCCGTCGTTTTTTTAAAACTTGGCCAGCATTTTCACTAGAGGCTGGCACAGTGTATCCCGCCAACGAAAATGTTTTTTCGCTGGCGGCCGTCCTAAGCTAACCGCCAACGAAAATGGATTTTTGCTGGCATCTAACTTAAGACGGCCGCCAGCAAAAATAAATTATCGCTAGCGGTCGATAACCGTTAGCGAAGATCTTGATTTTCACTGGCCCTTTGTGGCGGTTTCAAATTCCGCCAGCGAAAACCCAAAATGGCCGTCACGAAAAATGGATTTCGTAGTAGTGTCGGGCATTTGCCAAAGCACCATGGTCTCTGAGTGATGTACCGGAAGAACTTGAGGCTCAGGCTGGGGTAAAGCCAGAAATCTGTGTTGTATTCTTTGGGCTGCTCTCTAGGCTAGCCAGTTAGAGGTACTTTGTTAGATTAGATTGGTGGGCCATTAAAATTGTACTGTTTTTATTTAGAAAAAGTCATACTGTCTTCAAGATTAGAATATTTCTTTGCGAGGATTTAAGAATAGAATATTAGATTGGACTTTCAGTTGTCAGTTTTTTTCTTATTTCTTTTAAGATATATCAAAGGCTCCAATCAAAGCCAAGAAGAGCATGCAAGTTTATAGTTTCGACTAAACGGATACTTACAAAGTAAAAAACTAAATTAGGAGTCCAAACGGTTACCAAGAAGATAATACAGAGAATAATCAACGTGGATACTAAATCATACCCATGCTAAGTAAGTCTCAAGTAATATGTGTAACAAGTGCCTTAAATCATCCAACTACGATGATCTAATCGTCAAAGGCCCAAGCATTCTCCTTACGGACCTCCGCCTCCTCCTATAGCGTGAAGTCGTTGACGATGTTGAACACCTCCCTGACCTGCTCCAGCGTCATGTCTTTGATCAAGTCCACGGCATGCTGGCAGGTCAGATCTAGTAGGTCCTTCACATTCAAGTAGTTTGCAGCCAAAATCAAGCCAACCAGCATCGTCTTATCGACGTTGACGAACTTGGCATCGAAGCTCTTGAGCTCCTCCTTGCTAGCCTTAGGGGCAGAGGTCTTCGTGGAGCTGTCGGTGGCGGAGGCCTTGGGGTTTACGGCGGCGTGTTTGTTGAAGTACTCGACCACCTTGGCGAGAACGATGGCGGTGACGTTGGGGAGGAGAACTGTTTACACCCAAATTTGACACCTATAGACAAAATAGGGAAAAATTGCCAAAGTTTAGAAAGTGTTGGGTTTCCTTCACAGGGCCGGTCAGACCACAGGTGTGTGGGCGGTTGACCGGCTAGTAAGGTCGGTCTGACCGCAGGTATGTGGGCGGTCAGACCGGCAGGGTCTGAGTCCGAGTCTGTTTTCGTCGGGTCTCGGGTTTCCTTGCTCGGGAAGGCATGTTTCATGTTTCCTTTAGTTTCTATCACGAGTTGGACGTGGAGAAGGGCCTGTAGAGGGCAAGACCAACCCCTATTTAAGGGACAAGGCCGGTTCATTGTAAAACCCCCAATACAATTTACTTGAATCGTTCTTTTACTATGTTTTCTATTTTACCCTAATTTTAGTCCATCTTTGTCGGTTTGCGCCGTAAACCGTCCGCCGCCGCTGCGAGAGTGCGACACCTCTTTGTAGGTTTGTCCTGAAAACCTTCCGTTTTGCCCACGAGACGGGTAGTTATCTTCATATCGATCTAAATCGGCCTAGAGGCTGATTTTGATCTCTAAATCGGCTCCGTTAGCCGGTTTAGCTGTTTTTCTACTAAACCAATCTTAATTTGGCCCTTTGGCTAGATCGAGGTGGTTGACGACTCCATCACCGCAAGGCGTTCAGGTGTTGTGATGCTTATCGACTTGTCACAAAAAGTTGCCAACACGATTTTTGGCGACTTCACTGGGGAATCGATCTATTCGGCTTTATTATAGCCGAATATCTTGATTTACTGTTCGCGTTGTGATCTTGCTGGAGCGCGTTTGGGTGTCGTCATCGATTTCGTCTTCTCGCCGAATTATCTGGATTCGGCGGTGTTTGCGATCGACGGCAACAGCAATCGGATTGCTTCGGTAAAAGCCGATTTGCTGCACACGTCTAGAGAAGAAAATTCAATCGGTTTTGATTGGTTTAGTTAGTACTGTACACGTATTAAAAAAAATAGCTGATCTCTGTTCTATAGATCGGTTACTTTATAGCAATATTTTGATACAGTATTTTATACATCAAAACACAGCCGATTTGTATTTGGATTTGTATCAGATATTCTGCAAAGGATCAAGTGAGAATCAAGCAGCAGCAGTATCGGCTTTTTGCCATCAAACCGAGCCGATCAACTACTGTACACGCACAGTAATAGGTAGTATATCCAAGACCGTATATTAATCTATTCGGTCAACGATTTCGGTTATGAGCTATATGGCCGGATTTAATCAAGGAATTTCTTCATCAACTATAACGAGCCGGAACGGGTTCAACAATATTATTACACAATACATTAGGACCGATCAAGACGTCATCCTGCTACCTCAAGTCATAGTTTCATCAAAGGTAACATCCGATTCGCCCAACCCGTCCTTTACTAATAATCATTGTGTAGATGCATATGCTACTTCTAGTTTTGCTCCTTTACAATATGCTTATAATACTATGGGGGTCAATGGGTGATTATACAGCCGATTACACAGGAATCGACTATATGCAAAACCGAGCTGACGGTATGACCGGTCATGACACCGGTCTAACCGCATCCTTTGCCGGTCAGACCATGCCCACCATGGCCGGTCAGACCGTGTACTACGCTGGTCAGACCGTACCTACCATAGCCGGTCAGACCGTGCTCTATCCTGGCCAGATCGCGCCTCCTGTGGCCGGTCTAACTGCATCCCTGACCACCGGTCAGACCGGGCCATGGGCCGGTCTGACCGGATGCTTGGACGGTCAGACTAGGCTATCTATAACCGGTCAGACCGGTTCCCCGGGAATTTCTCCAGGTTTTCATATCACGACTAGCAGTACTGATTTTAATTATTATTCATCACCTGTTAATACTGTTAGTCATGCTACTCCACATATCCCTAATGCTTACAATGATCCTAATAGAGGATATTCTCATGACACTAGTTATGGCCAATATAATCATATTGCGCCGCAACAACCACCCCATAGGCTACCAAATACACCACCAGATCCACATAGGCCTAAAATATGGAGGAGTTGATTAGTGCCATTTTCAGGGCTACATTTGGGGTTGAAGCGAAGGATCGTGCTAGGGAGAACCAAAAACCGTATCCTGATTTTTATGACGCTCTCCCATATCCTCCTGATTATAAAATTCCTGAATTTACCAAGTTTAGTGGTGAGGATAGTAGGACTACGTACGAGCATGTAGATCAATTCTTAGCGCAATGTGGTAGGGCTAGTAGTATGAATACATGTAAGTTGCGTTTGTTTTCTTTATCTTTGTCCGGTACTGCTTTGATATGGTTTACTTCTTTACCGGCAAATTCTATTGGTACTTGGGCTCAATTAGAACAAAAATTTCATGATTATTTTCACACTAATGAAACTGAGCTTAAGTTGTCTGATTTAACATCGGTTAGGCATAAATACAATGAATCTGTTGCTGATTATATTGAAAGGTTTAGGGATGTTAAAAACTGATGTTTTAGTTTGAAAATAACTGACAAAGATTTGGCCAACATTGCATATGATGGATTGCTTGATTCTATAAAAGAGAGATTGAATGGCCAGATATTTCTTGATGTTGATCATGTGTTGAATGAAGCTCTGGCTCAGGAAAGCCGAGTGGATGACAATAGCTTACAAGCTAGTTTAGATGAAAATACAATATCATGTATAGCCGAACCAAGCGATGATTCAGATTGTGTTAATAATTTGTGCAATGATGCCATAACAATTATAGCCGAACCAAATGTTGGTTCGGATTGTCTTGCTAGCTTGGATAATGATGCAACAACCATTATGGCCGAACCAAGCAACGGTTCGGAGTGTGTTACTAGTTTAGACAATGATGGAATAGCCGAACCAAGTGATGATTTGGATTGTGTTGCTAGCTTAGAGAATAATGCCATTGAAGATATAGCCGAACTAAATGACGATTCGGATTGTATTATAAGCGAAAGTGAAATAGCATTGTCACCTAAGACCGAGTCACAAATCGGTCATGTGGATGTTGGAAAAGATGATGACAATGTCTTGCGGGATAATAGTGAAATAGAATCCAAAGTAGCCATGCATACATATCAAAGGCCGTATCCTGAACATGTAGATTCGGTCCCATACCCGCAAGGATTTGAGGTGCCCAACTTCACGAAATTCACAGGTGAGAATGCTATGACTACAATGGAGCATATCGGCTGCTTTATTGATCAATGTGGTAAGGCCGGTAGCGATGATTTGCTTAAGTTGAAGTTGTTTCCCCTTTCTTTGTCAAACTTTGCATCTACATGGTATAGTTTGCTTGCTCCTAGTTCAATTTCTACATGGTCACAAATGGAGCATGAGTTTCATGATTATTTTAAAGATGCAAGCTTAATGGAGAAAAGACCGGTTGATGATTCATCGGTCACTTGTGAAACTATTTTGGTTACATCTATGCCTAAGACCGGAGTTGTTAGTAATCCTCTCCCTATTAGTCCTATTGATGTTGACAAAAAGAAAGGGAAAAATATTATTATTGGGGATCCTCGGCCCAAGACAATTAGGATCAATAATGCAAAGGCCGAAGATCGTAAGGTTACAAAGGATGAGTTATCTAGTTCTATAAAGACCAAAAAGCCGAAGCTCACTTTTGAGATGCTTATGGCTAAGTACAAGAAAGAATTAGCCGGTCAACGATTTGATAATCAAACTAGTGATTCGAAAAGACCAAAGTCATCTCGTAGGAAGATATTTGGTCAATCACCAAAGCAATCGGAGTCATCGCCAACTCCATACAAACCTCCGGTTGTGATGCCATGGTGTCCATATCCAATGTCATTATATGGTTATCCTTTTATGTATTACATGCCATGGATGCCTCAACCACCTATGCCGTGTCATCAAGGATGGAAGCAATCACCTAGGACAGTACCAAGTCATTCTAACTCAAAACAAGACCGTTTTCCACAAAAGAATCGGTCCGGTAGATCAAAGGTGAAAAAGGTGAAGAAGGTGTGGGTGAGGAAAGAGGCCAAAGCTCCGGAGGTCGTTGCTATCAAAGAGGGGTCTCAAGATGTTCATGTACCTACTAGAGATGTGGTGGAAACCATACAAGTAAAGGAGATCAAAGCCGACACCGTGATTGTCAAAAGCGGAGGTCTGACCGAGGCGTCTAGCCGGTCAGACCGCCAAACTACGGTCGGTCTGACCGACTCTCCTGGTCGGTCTGACCGATGGCTTGTGGCCGGTCTGACCGGGCCCAGAGGCCAGTTTGACCGGGGGACATTAGAGAAGAGTAGGAAAATTGAGAGCAACACAGGAGCTTCCACTTCGACCAAAAATATGAAGAATCATTGCTTAGCTCCTGAAAAACAATCACAGCCGAAGTGGATACCTTCTGGCTTATCTCGCTCTCAAAAGAGGAGGCTACAGCGTCTTCGAGCCATAGGTCAAAAAGAAAAGGAGGCCGAAGATGAAGAGAACAAAACATGTAATAATTTAGAGCCTCGAACGACACCTAAGCGAGCGTGGAGACCTAAAGAAGTAAAAGTTAAAAGATTGGTGATTTCACGGAGTACTGATGGATTCAATTTGATGAGAGAAGAATCATTAGTCATTAAAGATAAGTCTCCTTCACATGATGCTATGGGTGTTAGTGCGGTATCCATCTTGCCTTCAAAATCGTGTAATCAAGAAAGCCGATTTTGCTTGGGGGGCAAGACATTAATATGCTCGTGAAGAAACCAAGAGAAGATGAACGGCGATGGATACAACATCACATCTTTGAGCCGTCGTTTGTTGGATGCTAAGGCAAGGTATGGGTTTATTGTGTTCATCATCATATTATATGCCTATGCCATGTTAGAACATTGCTTACTATCTAGCACATGTGTTTGCTTATCAAACTGATATTATACATACATGTTGCAAATGCCAGTTCTAAGTAGTGGAATTGGTAGGTTGGCATATAATTTGTTTGAAGTATGATTTGGCTCATGAGTCTTTGATATTTATTTAAAGCCAAATTGTATGTGTTTTTATGCATCACCATATAAGATATAGATTTTATAATTATTGCACCATGAAAGTTTTGCTTATTAGTAATTCGGCTAATGTCAATGGTCAATGTGATGATTTATTCTAGAGTTGTTTTCTTTAGAAACATTGGCATTGTTAATATTTTACATACATGCACAAGCCGATTACTTACATTTGTAGTTTATTGGAATCTATGCATGTGACACATATGACTTTGGTGATTCATTATTGATCATACTTCAATTGGCTAAGTGTTTTGATGCCATGATGATTATTGTTTCAAAAGCCATTTGAATTAGTATTCATCTAGACATGTTAGTTGGATGTTATAGTTTTTCATATGTCTAGAGAGAAGAAAGTTTGGTCCAATAGTTTGATACACCAAGCATCTGGCTATTATGTGAAGAAAAATTATATACTAAAGGTCGATGCTTGATTTCAGAGGTTTGGACGAAATTGGCAAAGTCATAGACTAGGGGCGGTCTGACCGGCATTGCACGGCCGGTCTGACCGGTGGTATCGGCGGTCTGACCGGCTCTGCATGGCCGGTCTGACCGGGCAGACAGGGTGGTCTGACCGACATTACGTGGCCGGTCTGACCGATCCCAGATAGGAGGCTGGGGGGCACGTTACAATTGATTAAAAGGCCGAATTAATTGTGAATTCGGACATTTGTGCCCATGAGTTAGAAATAGCTTGGAGAATTCCTTTGATTAGATATTTGAAATATCCTACACTTAAGGTTGATCGGAAGATACGGCGGCAAGCGCTCAAATATTATATCGCCGAAAAATAGATGGAGTATTACTTAGATAATGATCAATCTAAAGTTGCTAGGAGAGTAGTACATGAAGGGATTTGTGAAATTCATCAATCGGCCCGTAAGATAAATTGGTTGCTTAGGAGAGTGGGGTTTCATTGGCCAAAAATAATTGATGATTGTTTCAAATGTTATAGAGGGAGTGAAGCTTGTTAACGGATCGGCAATGTTCAATTAGTGCCTACCGCTGTGTTGAATCCTATCATTAAAATATGGTCGTTCCGAGGTTGGGCTTTGGATTTCATTGGTCAAATTTATCCTTCGTCATCAAAGGGGGCATCGGTTCATGCTAGATGTAAAGGATTACTTCACTAAGTAGGCCGAAGCTGTGCCGCTCGAGAATATTACTTGTATGGAGGTAATTGACTTTATTTTGAAGCATATTGTTCATAGATTCGGTATTCCTCAAACGTTAAAGGGGCTTCTTTATGTCCAAGGAAATGAGAAGTTTTGCCGAATCTTATGATATTAAGTTGTTGAGTTCTTCTCTTTACTATGCTCAGGCTAATGGATAAGCCGAGTCGAGTAATAAAACATTGTTGAAATTGTTGTTTTGCCAGTTGAGGTAAATCTTGGCTCTCTTCGGTATTTCAAGCAAGACGACTTGTCGGTTGAAGATTACAAGACCTTGATGGGAAGCAATTTTGAAGACGTCATCGACAAGCGTTCGAAGACTTTGAAGGAGATGAAGACACTTCAAGACGGTGTTTTTAGAGAGCAATTAATGGGAGATAGCTTGAAGAAATACTTCCCCAGCATTTGGTAAGATGCTTAGGAAGTCCTACGGGCTATGGCCGGTAATTGGATTATCGCCCTGAGATAACATGTTCTATGCTTTTAGGTTCACGTATGTTCACCAAAAAGGCAGGGGGGGCATGTGTTTACACCCAAATTTGGCACCTATGGACGAAATAGGGAAAATTACCAAGGTTTGGATAGTGCTGGGTTTCCTTCACAGGGCCGATCAGACCACAGGTGTATGGGCGGTTGACCGGCTAGTAGGGCCGGTCTGACCACAGGTATGTGGGCGGTCAGACCGGCAGGGTCCGAGTCCGAGTCTGTTTTCGTCGGGTCTCAGGTTTCCTTGCTCGGGAAGTCATGTTTCGTGTTTCCTTTCGTTTCTATCCCGAGTTGGACGTGGAGAAGGGCCTGTAGAGGGCAAGACCAACCCCTATTTAAGGGACAAGGCCGGTTCATTGTAAAACCCCCCAATACAATTTACTTGAATCGTTCTTTTACTATGTTTTCTATTTTACCCTAGTTTTAGTCCATCTTTGTCGGTTTGCGCCGTAAACCGTCCGCCGCCGCTGCGAGAGTGCGACACCTCTTTGTAGGTTTGTCCTGAAAACCTTCCGTTTTGCCCACGAGACGGGTAGTTATCTTCATATCGATCTAAATCGGCCTTGAGGCTGATTTTGATCTCTAAATCGGCTCCGTTAGCCGGTTTAGCTGTTTTTCTACGAAACCCATCTTGATTTGGCCCTTTGGCTAGATCGAGGTGGTTGGCGACTCCATATCACCGCAAGGCGTTTAGGTGTTGCGATAGTGCTTGTCGACTTGTCACAAAAAGTTGCCAACAGGAACCCCATTATCGGTGCAGTCATCCTCGATTGTATGGGACAACGTCTTTGACTGACTCGCCGCCGCCTCCGATAGCTCAAAACGCTCGCCGTCCGAGCTGATCAGGAGGATCATTTTTTCGCCGTTGTCACCACTGTCTGCTATCACTGCCATTGCTCGTCGATGGTTGGGTGGCTTGGTGGTCGAAGCCGCCGGAAGCAAAGTTTTGATTGATAGATCCGACGCTAATCAACCAGAAAGCTTGGAAAATACTACGTAGCTAAGCTGGTGATAGTGGTTGTATTTATTGCGTGAGGTGAGGGGGATCATCAACTCGGATGCAAACTAATTAACTTCCGAAGTGGAGTTGATCTCTTCTGTGTTGATCCAAGGCGCACTACTAGGAAAAGCATTATCACAAGCGGCCGAAAACGGTCTTCGCAGGCGGAGCGGCCGTCCGCCTGTAAGCAAACGACTGTGAAGATCGCCGATCTTCGCAGGCGGCGGACGTTGGCTAGTCCGGTCCGCCTACGAAAATAGGAATCGACCGCCTGCAAAAAAAAATATCCGCTTGCGAAGATAGGTAGAAAATTTTGAAATTTAATAATAATTTGCCCGTAAATTTAATAATAATTTGCCCGTTAATAGAAATTCTTGCATGTGGATTATTATGTACATATATTGGAAGATTATCAAGTATTTGGTACTGAGAAATCTACATATATTGCACAACTCAAAAGTGTTGCCAAAATATATATGTTACAATATTTTTTTACATTGTCACTTCAAATACGCCATCTAGTTACATTATGGCATAGCAGTGTTCCACTCCCGAAGATCCTTAAATTTGTTACTTGTCGCTAAGGCACCCTCTGGGTTGAAGATATCTCCTTTCACATGACAGCACTCATGGTGGATGAAGTGGCATAGATCACGCTGGACATTTGTGATGCATGTATCGTCAAAGCTTGTTCGACGTTCTAATCTTGGCAACTGCATGCATTGAAGATAAACAATATATTAGTATCATAAATATGTGAAGATGTCTAGTACATAGTATAGAGACTTACATCCTCTGCGTTAACCCTGTACCTCCCATTAACCCTAAGGAATTCGCACGCGTAATACCTGCAAAGGACCGTTCCTCGCAGTTGCTTGTGACACTTCAGGACATATCATAGAAAAAAATAGTTAAATTTTACAATTAGTGACATTAAGTGAGTTGAGTATTACCGGTCAATAGGTACGTACTAGCAGCTTCTCCCTTGTTCGGGTTTGTTCTCCACCCTTGAACTTGTAGTATTGGAACGCACTGTACAGATGTCGTACCGTTTCACATTAAGAAGGATATTAATTTATAATACATTCATATAAAAATGCAAGAGTCATAATCACTTACTACTGTAAGATTGTTAGAAATTCTTTATATGACTGGTGTCTGTACTCGAGAGGGTCCAAGACTACCACGGTTCCGTCTTTAGGGTGGATGAGTAAACAGATATAATGATCGCTACATATTAACAACAGCATAGTTAGTTAGTACCAGCTAAAATAAGACATATGTGTAGAAGATAAATATACCGGACTTACTTAAAATTATAAGCGGCCATGACAACTCTCTTATTTTGAAAGTGCAAGAAGGCTCGTCCAATGTACTGTGTGATAGTAATCAATTTCTCCTTGTGCAAGCCCTTCTTGTATTTAGCTATCTCTTTTGGAGTCTTCCCCTTCAGCTGGTCTGACCCTGGTGCTAGCCTTACGGTATGCTGTGTTTGACATATCCGAGTTGGATCCAAGAAGCCGATAGGTTCTTTTTTTCTTCTTAGTATCCATGTATTGCATCCTACATAAGAAGTTTGTTAGTAACAATCACATGGATTTGTATTGTATATATTTTTCATATAATTAATTAAAACTCATACTCACATGCACCAAACACCGACATAGTTGACGTCCATCTTATCCCGACGATATATGGCGTGGAGATCTGAGAAATCTAGCCATACGTAACCTTCGGCGCCGAAACAATCTACCGGTGATCGAACTATTATATTGCCCAAGCCTTTCTTGCTGGCTTCCATGTAGAAGGTATGTAACCTTCTCATCTCCCATGGTCCTTCGTTTAGTGCGCAATCCGGCAAGAGTGCTTTCCCATGTTCGTACTTTTCCAGGCAATCATCAGTTGCCAAGTATGTTGGCCCTGCTAGTTCAGCGGCCTTCTGGGGGTCATCATCTCTGAGTTTGGCATGTTGCTTACCCCCTCTGAAGACGGTTACCATGAACTTCTCCTTGTTCTCATCTTTGGACTTGGAGTTGTGGCTCCTAAGCACTCTAGGCACCTCAGAACTGGTAGTGACCTTCTTAGGGACCGTGGTCTCTTGCACCTCGGGGTCTTTCGTAGGAGAAGGGTCTTCAAATATTTCTAGCTCTGTACCGTCCCATTCCAATCCTGGTACTTCTTCTATTTCTGTCCCGACTGATGCCACAAATTGCACCTCTGGTTCTGCCACTGTAATCTCCATGGGCACCTCTGGCACTGCAATCTCCGGTGGCACTTCCAGCACTGGATTTTCCATATGCATCTCGGGTTCCTCCGCCTTATCAGTCACCTTCCTCTTAGGAGGTCTCGGAGGTTTTGCCAACCCCGGTTTTGGCACCACAGGTTTTCGCGTGGCGTCGGTGCCCAATCCAAAGGATATGTCATTCTTGTGCCAGAGAATTACAAGATCGACCGCATCCCCAAGTACGGATACACCATCTTGAGTAAGGAAGTCTACGTCGTAGGACTCATACCCCTCGTGGACCACTTGCGGCTGCACTTTGGCATACACATCGTCTATGAACTCTTCATTATATGTTCTTCCAGGAATAGCAATGGCTGTAGCGGCCTCAAAAGTTTTCCCGGAGCGTCCAATGGGAACGTGCAATCTGCAGGGAGTATTCTCCTTGAGGTCAACAAAGGGGTAATCTTGCTCAGGCTCTTTGGTTTTGGGGGGAGGGAAAAGCATATGCTTGACGCAGAAATCCATTATTTGCCTATCAAAATCCGCAGCCCATTCGTCACTAAGTTTATCCTTGTACGCTTCACGCGTCTTGTGGGGGTCATGTTTAAACCCTTCCTTCCAACTCATCTTGGATGACACCCCTCAAACCCTACCTCCATGCTCAGGAGTACCCAGCGCCGTACTTAGCACATCTTTCTCCCTCTTAGGCCTAAAAGCTCCTTTCTTCTGTGCACTGGATAAATTCTCTATTTTATCGGCCACCTCCTGCAGCTCCGGATCTTCAAACGATACTTTGCCTTCATCCATGATCTTAGGAGTTCTAGCTCTTACCCAGTTCCTTGATCTCTGTGTCCATTCCTCCATTGGTACCAGTTGCCCCACCTTCCTCATTTCCTCCTCCTCTTTTGTCCACTGCTCCACCTTTGGTGCGTATCCCGCGGAGCCTAAGCGATGAGGAAATTTGTTCTTCTTGGCTAACTCTGAAAACTTTTTGCTCCTTTCAACTTCTTCTGGGGAGTTCTTGAACGTCAGAAAGTCGTCCCACTGCTTCGGGGTTACGTTGGCATACGTCGAAAACGGTGTACATCCCATCATCACAAATTTCTTGTTCAAGGTGGTTTTCCAACCACGCCAAGACTTGTCCATTGTTTGCAGTGCACAATTCCTCACTGCTGCCTCTGATCCATCCGGGAACTGGAAGATTTTCTTCAACTCTTTCCATAGGTCTTCCTTATCCCCATTCGATACATGATCCTCGACATGTTTAAAAAAAATTAAAAAGGCAAACATATCCTCCACATTTTGTATAAAAAAAATTAACATACCCTCCCACATGTTATTAAATTTTTTTGACAAATTCACGTATCCTGCAAAATTGAACATACCCTCCCAATTTCATTCACATATCACCCACATTCCCAAATTCACATTCACAACCAACATATAACCCCTCATTCACATATCACCCACCCCTCATTCCCATTCACACCCACATGCACACACATATAAAAAGAAACACCCACATGCACACACGTCCGTAGACGACGAACGGCCGATGACGAGCTTCGGTCGGGGATGACGAAGGAAGGGCTGACGATGAGGTTCGGCCGTGGACGACGACCGGCCGAAGTCATCGTTCGGCCGAGGACGTCTTCCTCGTAGAGGACGACCGGCCGATGAAACCGTTCGGCCGCGAGCAAGAGAGAGAGAGGTAGTGGCCGGCGGTGGTGGAGGGGCCGGCGGCGCGGTGGAGGGGCCGGCGGCGTTGGAACTTGCGCACGCGCGGTGGTGGAGCTCGCGCTCGGTGCACGATCAGCGGCGGTGGAGCGGCGGCGCGCGGACAACGACGGTTGGCGGCGGAGGAGGACGGCGGAGGCGTGCGGCGGCGAAAAAATTTGGCAGCCTGACGGCACCAAAATTTCTAGGGTTCCCGCCTGGACTTAGAAATTTTGGTGGTGCGGGCTTGCCCTTATATAGGGAAACGATCTTCGCAGGCGGGCGGTCTGCCTGCAAAGAGGATCTTCGCACGCGGGCCGTCCGCCTACGAAGATTGTTTTTACTATTTTCGCAGGCGTACGGTCCGCCTGCGAAGATGTAAACCCTACTCGGTATAACATTTTCGCAGGCGGGCTGCCCGCCTGCGAAGATTGTTGCAGAGTTGAATATATTTATTACAAAATATACAAACCTTAATATTATTACTTTTCAAATGTAAATCTTACTTAAATGTTTAAAACATTAATATTACTAATTTAAATTTTTAATAAGTTTTCAAACAATGGTAAGTGCATATAAAAAATTGCTACTAAATTTTTAAACCTCTTTTAAAAAAACTTTTAAAATATAAAAACTGTAAATTTTATCCTACAAATGGTAATTGCATATAAAAATTAGTACAACCAATTATGCAAAATGTTGAGTACAATTGTTCGTCAATTTGCAATATGAGCACACATCACCTTACATACCATCATTACATAACTAATAACTTCTTAGATGCTTACATGCCACTCAACAATCATTACCCTTTAACATTTTTGCCCACACCGTCCGTGCGCATGTAAGGCTTCAGGGTCTTCTGAGTAGATGTCTCGACATTCTTAATCTTTTGTACAAACTGACTATAAAGTGGCATACTATCGTATTGATTGTAATCTTCGACATCTTCAACCCCATCCACTCCCAATATCTTTTGTTTCCCTGGTAGCACTATATCTTTCTTCAAATTTGAAGGGTCTTTCACATAAAACACTTGTGCCACGCGATTGGCGAGTACCCAAGGGTCATCCTTGTGACCCA